ACTCGGAGCACGGTCAGGTTCGTACTCGGAGCACGGTCAGGTTCGTACTCGGAGCACGGTCAGGCTCGGAGCTTGGTCAGGCTCGGAGCTCGAGGCTCGGGTGTCAGAAATCCACTACTATATCAGTTCTGACACCCGAGCCCTGATCGAGCCCCGAGCCTGACCGAGTCCGAGAGGCTCGGGCTCGGTACATGCCTAATGGAGACGCCCTTTGTTGTTAGCGACTCGACTTTTTCTAAACTAAAAGAGTTTTTCGTCAAGTGTAAGAAGCATACATTTTTACGCGTAGAAACGCTGTTTTTTTCGTTTCTTGTTTGCCCGGGTTCTGATATTTAATAAATATTTTTTAATAATATTTGTTTACCTATTACGTTCTGTCTACAAACTATGCAGTTATATAATTGGAACAAAACTGATCATAAGATTAGAAGAGAACAATTTGAAAATTAAACTCGTGATTTATAAATAGTTCCTTCCAGCATTTATACCAGCATGGTCAGATCCAGCATTTATACCAGCATGGTTAGATCCAGCATTTATACCAGTATGGTTAGATCCAGCATTTATACCAGCATGATTAGCTCCAGCATTTATACCAGCATGGTTAGATCCAGCAGTTATATCAGCCACCGTATGACAGCATATATGTTCGTCAATCGTTGCCATCGGTTGATGATCTGTAGCAGAGACAATATGTAATTAATAAATATAGAAGTTGTTTGGTTTCAAAAATTATGCAATGTAATAGTTATAAAATGTAAACAAAAGAATTCATTCGTACACTTTATCGATTGTATGCTGGGAGTAGCATTCAAGAAATTATTCTGTTAATAATATTAACTAACCAGCATTCTATGATATTTTATCTATTTTAGTTATTTGAAAACATTACAACCTTCTGCCAATAAATTAAATAAATGATATTGAAATAAAATAGTTTATTCGTTATTTTATTTCTTGTATTTTTATCAGATATTGTTTTTATTATAAATTGATAAAGAAAAGCAAATCAATATCCAATACAAGCATTCTTCTGATGCTATATTATTTATTATCTATTAGATATCAATAACATATGAAACTGAACAAATTTTTAATGCCACGAAAATTAAAAGACAGTGAATAAACAATAGCAACTTTACTCGAACCAAGAATCACTCAAAAAATATCGGACTCAAATTGAAAATAGTTAAATTTTTATAGTAAGAAATATATAATTATTATTCGCACTATGATAATAAATTTCTTTTAGTAATGTAATTTTTTTTTAATATTCTAGGCTGTTGGGAAAAAAAATCAACCCAGAGACACGTAATGAAAATATTTAATGTAATACTCTTTGTCTTTCACTCCAAAATTATTTATTAATACAAATTGAAACAACTAATACTCATATAAAAATATATTGATCTATGCTTAAATATATATATACTCAACACATAAACAAAATTTATTTATCGTTTTACTGCTCAACAGATGTTCGATAAATACTGATGTGAAAATAAAAATAAAAATACAAATACAAATAAATAATGAATAATATTTTAAAACTACTTAGTTATCAAATTTATATTTTTTATTATAATGTTCAATATTGGTATTAATGACCAAACTACTTCACTTGTCAATCTAAAACAAATGTAAGATAAACATATACGTTCATATTATTATTTTCTTTCTCTTCCTACGTAGTACTATTGGTCTATATGATCATGACAAGTCTATGTATCCAATGGCCATTATACATATATATATATATATATATATGTATATCATCGGAAAGAAAAAAAAAGTAAAAATACGACCTTCGCTTGAAAGCATTTTATTTTAAGAGTAATGCGCTAATGAGTTTTCAAAAGTTCGTAATAGAAAATATTTATCTAACATATAAATCAATATACTGAAGACTTTAAAAAAAATGTTATCATAAATTACTAAGTATATTCACACTCACTTAGATGAATTAATATGTTGGATAGTATGAAAGAAAATGCTGATCTTGAGGTGTACTATTTTATTTAAGAACAATAAGCATAGAAAAAAAATACTCAGTATAAGCCTCGTCACCATCCTCAGTATCTACGCAATAATGTTTTTATTGGATAGTTAACTATTTACTTTTGTTTAAAGAATAATCAAGAATTACGTCATTGTTTCTTTTTTTTTATTAGTAGTAGGCCTTTTCTCGTGTATGACAGAAATATATACGTACATGATTTTTACATTTGTTAATAGTACAAAGGTATTACTAGGATGTAAAATGTTAAAGTTATAACTTTAATGATAGATTTGACAGTCAGCTTTTACATGATGGTAACAGAAACGCAATGGTATAATGATATACGGACTTTGATAGGCACATATGGTTGGAAGTTGCGAGAAACTTTATTATATTATCAGGAGAAGCTTCTTTTATAAGTTCATCTTTTCATTCAATAAAATCTATACCACGATTTCAATCATATACTTTAAGACAACGCTTACCTATTGCGCTAAAAAAGAAAAAAAAAATTATATAACTACATTGATTACCTAGTTTTCGAAAAATCTCATATTTAGACGCTGGCGCCAATAAAACTGTTATATATTCGATTTTATTAAAATTAATTTTAATATGATAAAAATGTTTAAAATCAGTCAAACTATTGTCTTTTTTTTATGAAAAATATTTTCTGAAATGCACCAATCCTTTTTTTTCATTAAACTTGGACCAATGGTGATTGAGAGAATTCGTACAGGGATGAATCAGGAAAAAATGGGTAAGTCTAATGAATTCATCTTATGTCTGTCTTTTCTTAACTCATATATTTTTATTTTAGTGCATCGAAGCTACATTGTTATTTTTTACAAATTATCTACTATCAAATAATTAGAATGAATAATTCGATGTCTTGTCCTGTGATATTTCTTGATCCAAGTGGAAATTCAATCTTCGTGATGCAAGTTCAAACAGATCAACAAACTAAACAAGTGGATATGAGTACAATTACACATTCTCACGGTTGTATTCCTCTTGAACGACGACTTGACCTTCTTACACAAGCACCAATTCATCAAGATATAACTCAATCATTTTGTAAGAAAAAAATTTCAATTTTTTAAGCAGAATATCTAGTTATTTTTTATACAACAATCAAAAAGATAAATGCTCGATATTAATAAAAATCTGACTTAATAGTAATATAGTAACACTTTCAGCCATGTATTAAACGTTTATTGTTTTTTTTCTTGACTTGGCAAACATTCATTTTCACAGAATTACAATCACAAAAAAAAGAGATATTCATTTGATTAATGCAAATAGATGAACTTTAACCAAGAAAAAATTTCTATTTGATGTTTATATAAATTATATAATTTTTATTTATTATTTGAGGTGACATTTTGGAGGAAGTTGAGACTACAATACCATTTCAAAATGTGAGTAGAACTGCCTTTATTTAAACATACTTAATTTTTATCTATTCAAAGATACATAATGGCATACGTCATACAAAAGTGGCTATTTTGGTTATTGATGGTTCGATTGTTCTTGGTGATGATTTGGCAACAGTATCAGATGAATTCAAACGACGTGATATTATTTTAATCGTTGTTGCTGAAGTCACACCTCATTATGATATTTGGAATTTTTATTATGAATTAGCTCGTAGTACAGGTATGAATAAGTAACTCATTATGTTCTATGATATCTTAATAGAATTTGTTTCCTAATTTTAGGTGGTGAATACATGTTATTTGAAGATGTATCGAGTATGTGGTCAAGTGTTATCAAACCATTGATTCTTAGAGTAGATGCAGATCTTCAAATGGATTTAGGAAATATGCCAACTAACACAAGTGTTACTGATGATCAAAATGAAATAACAGATGGTGTTGGAGATTTGCCTTTTGATCATGCTCTATATTAATGTTACTAATATTATTAACCTTTTTTATCGTCAGTCATTTAGTATGATATTGCTGCAATATGCAACAATGTAGTACTTAATGTCTGTATAGTTTTATGTTTACAAAATAAAATATTAATATGAATACTTCTTAAATAAATTTATGTAACAGCTTATTATCTTCTCCATTTAAATATCATTGAGAATGATGAAAAATTGATATGAAAGAATTTCATGTTCTAACAAAAACCTCAATTCAAAGTAAATCAGAATAATGGAATGAGTATTACAGTAGTTTCGATAGGTTACATGAATGACTTTTATTTTTGTTTGTCTGCTTTTAGATATATGTTACATTTATATGAAAATTGACATGCTTAAATATGGATTCATATTTTATAATTGAATAATTTCTAAAATATTTTTCATTTAATTGAATATAGATATGCTAATAATTGAAATCGTTTAATAATTGACAAAGATATGGTTAATAATTATTTATCGACTATAAAAGAACAAATAAAAAGAAATGATTATAAAATCAAAAGAGCCAGTATACATATATATGCATATAGTGATCTACTGTTTTAAAACAAAATAGAACATAACAAAATTGTCCTAACCATATTGCAAAAGTATTTTAACTTAATTTTCACTATTAAAAATATGGTGAATAATATTCCTATTGATTTATATGCTTAACAAGTTTATATACAAGAAGAAATTTTATATTTGAAAAATGCTTTAATCGGTTGGCTACTGGTTTAATACTTCAGATACAGTTTTAAGCAAAACATTTCAAATGTTGTAATATATATTTATTTATTCTTAAAAGTTTCGTAAAGTATGCAAATGTCTAACACAATCATCATGACACAGGTGTACATCACATTCTGCGCTGATAAGGTGGGAGAACATGATAGACGACAGAACTTCTCATTATTTGCACAGATATCACCACTAATAATCAAGTATCATATATGATACTACCGTAGCCAGCCGATTAAAATACACAATCAGGCTAAAAAAACGTTCTATCGGATCTTTATGCATTCAAATACATTTAAATGATATACTTAATTATAATATTATTAGTCTTTTTTCGAATATATTTTTATTCCTTGATCATTGAACTGTCTGAAATATATTTGATAAACATAAATGAAAATGTTCAAAAGTAGTTCAGTTTAAATCTGAAATACTTTCTCAATAAGATATGGTTCATTTGTTCATAAAAAATTTATTCATGTATTTTTATTCAAAACTATATATAAAAGCTCACAAAATCTAACAAGGATACTATTAAACTCTTTATAAACAAGTACTGTTAACTCCGTAATTTCAAGACAAAACACATAGAGTTCTGTATTTTTTCACAAAATAAGTTAGGTGCTCGTCATGTAGTTTATGTTCTAGAAAATCTGAGAACTCACAGAGATCTGCTGCAAAAAATTGTATAAGAATATTAAAATATTTCAAAACGTTTGAAATTAATTAAAAATATTTTTCGATATGACTGCACTCCTAAATAATGAATTCGTCTGTTTCAACTAATTTTTGTTATGATTGAGGGTATGAATATTAATTTCATATTTATTTTAAAAATAATCTTGACATGGAATCGAAATGATGAATTTGATTGGCATTACGTATAATAATGTGACATTAACGAATTAGAGCTATCAATTTTGTTGCCTGATTTATTTGAAAATAAAATAAAAAAAGGCAGATATTAAAATACCCACGAACAACAATCGTCATATACGTATAGATTTGTTTGTGATCTGAATTTACGATGTTTCAGAATTTTCAATAAAGTTTCATGCAATTAATTAGGTGATTCCGACTCACAAGCTGGATAGAATGCGTGGTTCAAAAGAATAAATAATTTAGTTCTAAAAACTTCTTCTATTAAAGTGAAAATAGTTTGCTATTTACGAAAACACAAATCTTTTAAGGAAATGAGTTCTGACGATAGCTTAGACTAAGAAAAACAGAAGAAATTGATCGATGAATAAAATACTCCTGAAAATTTTCGGAGTAGATTTTATATTTTCGATACTACAGATAAGGAAAAAAATAATTGTTTTTTAATTTCACAATATAAATTTAAATCCCAAAAAAAACGTTTGACAAATAGTGTTTTAGACCCTATTGAAGGTATTTCAATTCAAAATTTGATGTTCTTTATATTTTCTAGAAAGAAAAACAAGCTTTCATCCACATATTTCGCTAAAAAATATGAATTTCGGAATCAATGCAAGACTCATAGGTTCCTGAAATAATTTTTAATACAGCAGATATTGAAGATCTTTGTTTGAGACTTTATCAATTTCTTTGTTATTTAATAATAAAATCGAATTTTGAATATTTATATTTTTGATAATGTTGAGAATGTGAGTGAAAGTGCAGAGTAAATTAAATAGTGACAGACACCTATTTAAGAATATTTAGATGATACAAATAGTTTTAGCTTCTAATCTTCGAGTTTTAAAAAGTAATTATCATATTCATTATGATTATTTATATTTTATTTAAAAATAAAAGGGTGGAAGGGTGTGAGATTACAATACGCTACTCACACCCATCCTCAAGATACATGAATGCAATAACTAGCTTTTACATAGGCAGGCACACTACTAAATATACTTCAAACGAGAGTAGAGAGAGTTTTGTTTTTGTTAATAGTTAGTTTGTTGGCCGGACAGGATGTTCTGTCTAGTAAAAATTTTTGCACTCGATGTGTCAAAAGTTCTACCACGTACAAATTCCAGTTCTGATCAAAAGCCATGTCTTCCGGACGCTGCAGTTTGTTCGTTTGACTGTCTAAAACGACTTGCTTTCCAAGCGCATTGGGTAACCATTTTGTAACTTTATTCTCATAAGGTTCTACCACATAGACAATCTTCGTATTTGTCTCGACGAAAATTGACTGAGGATTTAATAGTTGGTGTATACCATTGCCTGCTTTATCACTTCCGGCAACTGTAATTAACTGTTGAGTATTTGGCATCCATTTAACAACTTTGCTATTATGGGTACATACATAAACAGCACCTAATTCATTGACTTCGTCAACAAAGAGACCCACAGGATTTTTTAGTACGCCTGTCCCACCAAATAACATTATTCCCGTAGTGGATTTCTTCAACCATTTGACTATTCTTTGATTATTCATGTCTACCACATAAACTGATTCCTCTCGATCGACATAAACAGCTTTTGGAACATTTAACTGGTTCAAAGCTGCACCGTATCGACCGTTACCAGCTACCACTTCGACTGAACCTCCTACTGCGCTTCTTTTCTGAACTGTATGGCTGCTCGATACTGTAAAATATAAATTATCGTATCTATCAATGAATAATTCTCCAGCTTTCACTGATGTGACCAAAGTGACAATTTCTTCACTATTTCTTGAATACTTTTGTATACGGCTAAAAGAAGGATCCGAGACGTACAGATTTTGTTGCCTATCAAAAGCTATTGATTCTGGTTTATAAAGCTGATTCATTGCGCCACCACCACCATTACCACCGGCTACAACAATTCCATTTGGAAACCATCGAGCAGTCTCACATAGAACTATCGCTAATTAAAAAAAACATGTACGTAGAAGACGCATCTTACAATGGAAAGTTGCGAACTGTTGAGCAATAAGCTTAATTTTGTTCAGGTGAAATAATCTCTCTCATCGAGAAACTAACACACTCATAATATGAGCTACTGATGGGGTACTGTAACAGAGATATTTCAATTCTAAGTCATTTTCTGCACATGTATTATGCTGATCATTCAAAACTTTAACAGAACTTATGTGTCTGTTTTCGTAATGGTTGAATTGAGCTCATCGAGTTACATAAGAAAAAGTATGTTTCAAAAGTTTATAAGCAATTTTACGTAAAATTTAAAGATATCTCTGTTACGGTGCCCCATCAGCAGCTCATATTGAGAGTGTGTTTGTTTCTCGATGAGAGAGATTATTTCACCTGAACAAGGTCAGGCTTATTGCTCAACAGTTCGCGACCTTCCATTGTTAATTCATATTCACACCCATTCTCATCTTCACTCTTGCTTTTAGGAATGCAACAAGTCCAAAGCCTTGAACTTGGCATGTAAGATTTGATACCCATATGATATGGATTTCGATTTGGGACCTAATCTTAGATTTTTCTATGGATCTAGTAAGATAATATGGAAATAGGCCTTGGGGTTTGGACTTGGATTTGTTTTAAGACAGAAATAATATAAATAGTTTGCGATTCGACATTTGCAACCAAAACTGAAACTTTTTTATGTGAGTTTGCTTTAGAAAACTCATCCAGGATCCAAATCTTAAAGCTATTTTCAAGATTTGTTGCAACCCCACTTCAGTTTTTGCAAGACAATGCAACTGCCAGTTAGTATTTTAGTCGCAGCATAAGGCAGCGGATTAGCTAGCTATTTATCAAAAAGTTGATGGACATTCTAGGCGCTAGGTCAAAGGGGAGAGCGAACGAAAATTTGCACTTGAAACTTGACTTACGCTCTTCTGTCGTGGTCGTCGTCGTTGTGAATGTAACTAAAGTTTTTTCGTGTGTTGTTGCGTCGCTTGGTATCGATGAAGATGTTGTCGTTAAAGTCGGAACTGATATAGTTGGACCTACAGACAGAACTGTAGTTCTCTTAGACGATGTAGTTGTTGAAGCTGTAACCATTTTAGTGGTAGTTAACGAGATTATGTACTCACCCGTGGGTTTTGTAAAAGTATAGGTTTCTTTACCTTTTTTCACATAGATAACCACACCTACGACAATACCAATAACTAGAATTATGCACAAAGCCAATAGCAACCATCGAATTCGACGGCACTGTAATAAACAAGTGCAATGCCAAAATGAACAACATTTACAATCATGGCACAGACTCAATCCTTTATTATTATTGATGGTAGATTTTGTAGAATTTCGATTGCCTCGTTTTAAATTGATATTTGTTTTATCCTCAGTTAGTTCGAATTGCTGAATGTTGTCAGGATTGACTGAGCATCGTAACTGTAAAAAAAAGAGATCAATAAGAGTGTCCAGCCCAGGTGAATAAATCTAATAACTAGGTATGTGACGGATCGAACAAATTGGCGTACTTGGTACGAACAAAATCGCGAGGATGAGTGTTCGTTCGGAACATACACTGGCTAGGACCAAAGCTGGGCAAAATACTTGAAGTACTTGTACTCAAGCATCAGGCACTTTAAAGTATGGAGTCAGAACAAAGGTTAACAGCTCGAATACATATATCAAAGTAATAGTAATCAAAACTTTCGTATCGAGTGGGCTTTTCATTGTGCTCGTACTCATATTCGAGAAAGTCTGTACTTGCCTAGCTCTAGCTCAGATCTGCTATGACCAGCTAGAATGTTGTTCGATTCGCCACATACTTAATCATGATCATCAATAGAAATCATGGGCTATCTTCAGTCACACTACTAATGTTATCGAACTAACCTGATGGTTTTTGATTGAGTTCGAATTCTGCAAGTGGCCACAATAAACACATTCAACACGTGCAACAGCAGATTTCGGTCGTGGTACAGCTAGAACAAAAACCATGCAAATCATATTTTTATGCTTTTATCAACAAATATAACAAACTTACTATTTCTAATAGATCCTCGAGGAGCACTTGGCCGTCTACTCTCTCCATTTTGTCTTTTGAAATTCTCTACAGCAGTTTTAATTGCACGGTTTGGTGTTAAGCGAGATACACTGAGTTGTTGTCTCGTAAATGGACTTGTTCCATGTTGTTGTATCCACTGAATAATTGCACTTCGCTCATATGTCTGACCATCTTCCGCTAAAACTGGGTCAATGAACAGTTCCAATGTAATGGGACATCGTAAATGCTGACAGTCACTCATTTCACATTCTATTTTACTTTTTTTTATCATATTTATATGCATGAAATTCGTCGAAAGTTCCTTATATATGTTGGAAAAAACATTCTTCTTTATCTCTTTAATCATTATTTTGTTATTTGCGATGATACTACCTACTTTAAAAAAAGTGAGAAGATAACTCAGGTGTTGTGAAACACTGATGAGTAATGAGAAAACTGTTGGAGTAAAAACACAAAAGAACCTAACAAATACTCGGACAGAAATTAACAATTAGGAATAGCGCTGGCTTTTTACGTTTGCTAACTGCAGGTGAGGATATGAGATAAACTGCCATGACCATTTTGAGGGTGTGGGTGTGGGTGTGGGTGTCCTTTGTTGACCTAAACAGGACACCTACACAATCGCATCCACATCCCACATCCCACACCCTCACTCATCCACACTTCTCAAACCTTCCTGAAATTTTCTTTTATTTAACACCGATTATTCATTTAAGTCTCTAATGATTTTATTTTCAAATACATATATGATTCACAACAAACTGCCAAATGCATGGTTTTCTCGTTCTTCCTCTTTTCTAACTCAATAGTGCTACACACAATATATCATCTTATGAGTGTGAGTGTCTTAGGGTTCTTTTAGTTTCACGTCCACACAAACACTCAGCTAAATTTTTGCTGGTTGTTAAAGAGAATAAAAAGCTTGCCGAAGAATCAAAAAGATGAATATCAGCAGAATTGTATCAGCTGCAATGATAGGTGGTTTAATATGTTGGTGAAAAAAGGGAACACACGATTTTTTAAGCGTAGAATTGTTTAAATTTATGTTTTTATAGCATATGTATGCACGTTTTATAATTATTTAATTTGGAAAGTCAAGACGATTTGTTAGCAAGATCACAATTCCTTTTCGATACGGGCAATATTCTGCCGAAGAATTTTCATCCATGTATGGTTGTCTGGCAGGGATACTTCTCCGATATCTAACCCACGTTCATAATACGCGAGTGCAGTGGAATACTTTCCAATCATGTGATGTACTCTACCAAGATTCATATAAGTAGGAACAAAGTTAGAATGGCCATGTGGCAAAGATATTTGTAGAATTTGTAGCGCCTTTTCATAGAACGTGAGTGCGTCTGAGAATTGTCTCATATCCTGATACACATTTCCAATGTCAATATAAGCGTCCGCAATGAGAAGATGAGTCGGTGGAAGCGATGTTTGTAGGATTTGAAGTGCTTTATTAAAGAAAGAGAGTGCACTCGAATAGTCTCCTATGTGACGCTTTGCGTTGCCAATATTGCTGTAGGTGATGGATAGTTCAGAACGATTGGAATATAAAAGTTTTTCATTGATTTTCAGAGCTTTTTCAAAGAACAAGAAGGCATTTTCATACTCATCCATATCTTGATAAATTCCACCAATATTGTCATAGGTAATAGCAAGGTCTGAACTATCGGAAGGTAAAATGATTTCTTGAATTTGACGAGCCTTTTGAAAGAACGAGAGTGCCTCTAAATAGTTTTCCATAGATTTGTATGTTAAAGCGATGTTATTGTAGTTAATGACAAGGTCAGGATGATTGGAAGGTAGCACGTTTTCATTGATTTCAAGTGCCTTTTGATGAGATAAAAGCGCTTTTTCTAACTTTTTCATTTTTCCGAGCACAACACCAATCACGCTGTATGTGTTAGCAACATCAGAATGGTAGTGTGATAGAAACTTTTGTTGCATTTGAAGCTCTCTTTCAAAGAAGTAGTAAGCTTCATCGTAACTACCATTGTGAAATTTAATATTACCCAGCATTTTATATAAAAGTATAATTTCTTTTTTATCATCATTGTCCGTCAATTCCAGTAAGACTTTATATAATTGTTCGGCACGTTCTGCCTCTCTCATTGAAAGCATCAAGTGACCTAGTGTATGCCAACCTGTATGCTTCAAAGTTTGCATAGCCATTAATAAAATAAAAGTCGCATACGACGTAGCATTCACATTCGTTCCTGTTAATTGCACTTGCCAAATGTTTTCCTCATTTTTGGCTATATGACTGATGTGAAAAATGCTGGTCATAGAGAACAAAATGTCTTTTCTCGATTTATAATCATAACTTAATTCATCCAGCAAGATAAATGGTGTATTTTTGGAAGTAACGTGCTCAAGTTTGATTTGAAAGAGAACAGGTAATATATCAGTATCTTGTTGAACAGAAGAACAGGCTTTAATTGCAAATTCTCGATCAGTAGCAGTCAATAAAAAGGTATTGAAAGACATTAATTTATCTTTATTCTCTTGTAGTTTATTGATATCACTTGTATTTAATCTAATGCATCGATAAACATCTAATGAATCCAGAGAATTTGATTTTTGCTCATGTAACTTTTCTATCTGTTTAGAAATATCACGCAAAAATAAGCCCATTTTTATTAAAATTCTCATGTCCATAGTTCGAAGAGCTCGAGTGATTATTGAAGAGATAAAACATTCTCGAGTATACCACCAGATCGACGAATGTTCATCATAATTTTGTTCGAATTCATCGACAATTTTTAACATATTTTGATTAGTTTTGTAGTGTTCGCGTAGCGCCTCGATCACATGTTCTTCCTCGAGTTCAATACAGGATAAAATCATTTTAAGCATTTGTATATATTTGAAAGAAGGTTCCATTCCTTCGTTAGAAAAGATATTATCTAAGGAACCGATGTTGATTGTGATCAATTCCCCATCACAAAATTTGGTTTCATACTAGAATAAATAATAAATTGTCTCGACCTAGCAGTATTACTTTGTCATATATTGATTTATGCTGACCAATAGTAGTGTACACAGATTTTGAATTATCTGGAAGTTCATCTCAAAACATTAGTTAAGGAAAATTCAGTCAATAAACCTATTCGATAACTATTGATTAATGAATCATATAATTAATAGACAGATTATGTTTATAACTACCAGAGATTTGATCACATTTTTGGGCTAATTACGATTAAGTTGACTACAGTATTTGCTTTATTGTATTTACAATACATTCATAAAGGCATCCTCCATATGATACTCTTTAACACTCATCCTTAAAGTTCATAAAAAAAAACAATTTAATCATAATACCTTTTTGTCTTTTCCTTCAGAGAAAAGATTTCTATTTGACTCAGTATCGCCGAATACACCATTTATATTAACAATTGCAATCCATAGAAAAATAAAGTATGAAATAAGACGAATTGATAATTCGCATTTTATAGATAGTATATTAATACCAAATATTCGACTCTTTTTTTCCATTGTGTTTTTATCTAAAAACTGTAAATTTGTTTATTTCTCGTATAACATTTAATTGAAAATGTTAAATATCATTATATTACATGACTCGAATGAATTTCAACATGTCTAACTAAATTTGTTTTTCTCCTTTAAGAACTGTACCTGTATTAACAATGGGATCTTAAGTGAACCACTTTTTTCGATCTCTTTTACAGAAATAACCTGATACACAGATTGACGGTACTGGATAGGCTTACTTTATTTTGTCTGCGAGAAGAATTAAATCCTCTTATATAACTATTTCATAAACATATATTAACTATTAGTTTCGAAGTCTTCATGAGAACAAGTATAAAAAAGTGTTCTAGCATAAGATACGAAAATAATAGATATACCAATATAGATTAAAAAAAATCTTGTCAGCGCAGTCTTTTTTAGGCTAAAATGTGCGACTCACATGTCGCCTACAACCATAGACGCCAGAACGAAGTCAATTGAGGCGAGGCGCGAAATACTTTTTCAAGTGGTGACCTGAGAACAAAAAAAATGGATAATGGCTAGTCTTCACCATTATTTAGAAGTAGTGTGAACATTGTTTTTCTTAATTCTATCAAGAAACAGGACTTTTAAACAAGAGTCTCCAATAGAATAAACTGAAACGACTACCAAACACTGATCGCTTTTCGACAAACAATACGATTACCACATTCCGAAAATATTTTTGAGGGTGTGGGTGAGTGTAGATTTCTTCTTACTTCTTACAACCACATCCGCACCCACATTCTCGTAGCTTACATTGATTGTTTTCTTAAAAAATATATGTGAATTCCATAAAAAACTGTCCCCAGTAAAGATGAGTTGCAGTTAGGTTCGCCTTATTCACATTTTTTTATCCCTAACTTAATGTATTACTCACTCTAAATTATAAAATAATAAGGAAGTAACTTTGAATTTAATCACATGATTACTAATCTCTTCTGCGTCGAATAACTTAGCATCAAATGCTGACTGACGCTAAGATTTTATTAGATAAAACCATTGAAGCGAGTTGCTTGACATAATTCAATCAGGCCAACTTCATTTCGGTTTTACAATGATAATAAAAGGCAAAATATGATTCATAAAAAAACTACGGATTATAAAAAAAAGAAAAACGGCGTTTCTGCTCACCTTTTCCGTTATCGAACAAGTTTGAAGCTATTTCTTATATCAAATATGTCGTAAAAAGTACTACGCTTTTACTTTCTGTTTCTTTTCTTCACTCAATTTTCGACGGTTGCACAACCTACTCTCAATACTGACACATAATTATCAGGCAATAAAAATTTCTTTTTTTCAAATGAGTAATAAACTGTGTCGATGACAACGCTGTTGCAACTAGAATTATTATGATTCAGTTTTTTTATCGTTTTTCGTTCGATACCACTTTTTTTTCAACAATCGTCATTTTCTTGATTCGATGAGTAATAAATAACCGCTATTTATTCTGTACTTATGAGAAATTCGTGACTTTTTTCCTGACAATATAATAAAATCTTCCAACATGTGTCATATCTATAGTATAAGAAGTACACTAAAGATTACCATAAAAACATGTATAAATCATAACATAAAAAGTACTTCCGAGGAAGCCGAATTTCCAACCTATGAGTTTGTTTTACTTTCAACAGAGCTCTCACACAATTCTATCAATAAGGGGGTGGGTGAGAGTGCGGGTGTGGATGAATACAAGACTGTCATGCTCACACCCATTTGATTGAAACGTTTAACTAACCAGAAGCTCCATGTTGTTAATATATCAGATATATTTTTATGGTTTGTCCTTTACTAAAATTAAATAAGTAATGATAAAAAAAGAAAAGATCACGATCATTTCATTTTTTTCGTCATAAGAATGGTAATTTTTGTGTCGTTCAACAGATTTCAACTTGAATATTTATAAATATAAACTCATAATTTTCGTTTAGCCTTTCTTAGAGATGAAAACATTCTAGGAGTCTTTCGATTTAAAAAAAGAATGTTTTCTTTCAGTAAAATATAGTCTTATTACCCAGCTGAGGAATATTTTCTGTATTGTTATTTGTGTAAATTAATTTTTATTTTCACTTCAAAACTAATACATTATCTTCTAACTGCTTTTCCTTACAATATTAAGAGAAAGCGTTTTGTGTAGCTCATTTCGTCTGTCAAAATATAAAATAAGCTAAGTATTTATAAAAATATTAAGAAAGAAAACTACAATACAAAGAAACTTAGCACAAGGATATCTTCTCTAAAAGAACAAGAGTCATTATTCATATACTAGACTTTATTATAGAAAAAAGTAAAAGTTTAATTATGATAAAATTAAAAATATATAATAGATGTCTGCGCTGATAATCATGTAAATTGATCGTCATTATCAACTTTTATCTGACATTATTTCCTCATGATATCAACATTATCTTTATGCCCATTTATATCAAAACGAAAGAATATTTCATAGAGGGTACATTCTTGAAACACACTATATAATATACACCGCTTAATGATTTCTATATCTCATGTAGAAGATGGTATTTGAGATTGAAAAGGGTTAAAATATTATATTTCATAAATAAAACTGTAGTTGTCTATTGTGATTGAAAGCTTAAATTCATTAAAAGCTTCATACAATAACAATGATGGCACCAAGTATCAATTCATTTTTGAAAATTCGTAAACATATTGAGCACTTTACTAAATGAAATGTAAGTATAGATATATTCTCATGTTGTCTTATTTTTATTGATACTTTTGTATGTCTATTTTCGAAATACTACAATCAAAAAAGAACAATAACATAAAACGATGAGAAAATTTCTAGAATAACAGAAAAAAATAATGAGATAAATCTAACCTATCTCTTCAAACAATAAAAACATTCGACTTTTTACGAAGCAAATAAAAAACACAAGTAGTTAGAGAAAATACCACAGAAACTTTTGCTTCGTTGTAGAAAGACATATAAAAGGTCAATTTGAACTATTATTAATGCGATGCGAAGCATAAGCATTTATGTAGTCCACCGCGTACGCATTTAAAGTTGTGTTTTTGTGTCGCGATGATCTCAGCACTGAAACATCGAAAAATACTCGTTTAAACGCGAGATTAATATACTAAGATCGAACTGATACCATTCGTTTCCGATTTTCAACAAGACGTTTAGTTCGTTTACAGGTAGTGTTGCAAAAAAACACGCTTTTGATTTTTTCACAATCCGAGATAATTAAAACGAAAAGCAAAAGCAAAAGTTAGGTGCCACTTTTCTCTAACAACTATTTTACAGCTGACACTGCAGCTGATAATAAATAATGAATCATCTAAATAATTTTGTGAAAACCTTACAATCGTTATTTCGCAATCCTGCTTCGCATCGTATTTCGTAGTCGAGTAAAACTCGAATACCATCTTATTTTTTTCCTCAATTCATTTGTCAGACTCTGTTTCGTGAGAACAAATTCTATTCGATCTTATAAAACATATATATGTTTGATTGTTATTGATTGTATAACGACAAACATAATATTCATGCCTATTATATACCATTTGATATCAATAAAACAATCTCAATAAAAACGTGGTGTACAGTTGCTATGTTGATTCTGTTCTTTTGAAGTTAACGTCATTTTTTTTTGGATTTTTTCCTTTCAATAGGTAATTGTAACATCATGTGAAATATATGATGCATGACGAATATATATTCATTCAGGCAGGAAGAAAAAATACAAATACATCATATCACCAACACATAACGTTACACAGCACGCATTTATCAGGACTCTACAATGGTAAACCAAACTGTCACGAAATTCCATACGATACCGGTAGAAATTGCCTACCGAATTCTGGATCATGCATCAGATCTCACAATGCTTTGCTCAATGACTAATGTATGTCAACGGTTTAACATGATCTTAAACACCTACCATCGATATCAGGTAAACTTTTTTCTATTATGACAGTCTAATTTTTCTCTCTTGACTCGCAAACTATTTTTCATTCCTGCAATCTCTATACAAGTAGAATCACTTCAATAAAATATAAATGAATAAGCTACTTTATCACTTATTAATCTCTTTCGAAAACTCATTTTCTGTATTATGACAATTCTAAAATAATGTCCACATAATTGCAAAAAAGTTGTTTCTTCTTTTATCGTTTTAGTCTCATTTAAACACTTTTTTTATTATTATTTCAATAATAAAAAAAACATTTTGAAAGAAATTAACAGTTTACAAACTAGCTAGTTTATCATGTTATAAATAACGTCTTAAAAATTCACTTAAGATATATCTCCGACAAATGCTCCCCTAAGATCGTGGATGCCTTCGACCATACGTAACGGCGAATGTGGATTGAGAGCAGATTCATTCACCACAATATTCACACTTTCACACGATCATAGCAGAGAAATGGAACATTTCTTCAAGCAATGCTAATTCTAAAACAAATATTTTTCCAACAACGTTGTCCCCAAAGCGCACTTCATCTAAAGGAGTTTTTCTCAAGAACAAAAGTAAAACATTAATTCATTTCTAAAATAGAACATCGGGTACATTTTGTAAGAGATATTTATAATTCGACGTTTTAGCATGTATTCGCCTTTCATTCATTCTGAATCTAACATTATGCAATAAATTCTTTCACTCTTCTGATCCTATCAATCGATATTGTTTTATACACATAAGGTTGTGGTATCATCGAAAGCGCCTACTGAAATCAATGACTATTCTTACCAAAACGAACCATATCCATTAATTTAACCAAATCAGATAACTCAAACAAAGTTCTCATGCAAACCACATCTCCAGTCTCGTCGATGAACACGACGCAAACCCATTCACAGACTACTAATACTGAACCATATTTCTCTAACACCTACCAAATACTAACTGGCGATGCAAGACTTCAAAATATTTCCCGCAGCAGCAATTGTCAGACTGTAATTTCTAACCGAGCACATTTTGCTTCCTTCACGGAAAAATTTAAGTATTAAAGCAACAGATACATAAAAAACATTAGGCATGCACAACTTTCGCTAACTGCTTTTTAAGTAAGCTTTTTACACAGCAATTCTGAGCATTGCATATAATCTAAATTCAAAACAGTATTCAGGTCCATAGCCATGCTCAATTCAATGCAGTGCAACCAGCATATATTCTGTAGATCCAAGCCCACATAACAATAACTAGCTATTCTGTTCCTTCGCTTATGCCATGTCTTTACTTACACTTTTTCGTTTAGACACTCACTACACTAGATCTCGAATGGAATCAAATTGGAGATATTGGAGCACAACATTTGGCTGACGCAATACGATACAACACAGTAACTGTCGATCTCTCTATATCTGTATCATGTGTTTACTTACATTTTTTCGTCTAGACACTCATCTCACTAAATCTTTTGCGCAATGGAATCGGAGCTGCTGGAGCACATCATTTGGCAGATGCATTACAAGACAACAAAGTAACTGTCTTTCTCTATCTCGTATTTTCACTTACACGTTCATCTAGACACTCACCACACTAAATCTTTATTTCAATCAAATCGGACTTGTTGGAGCACAACATTTGGCAGATGCATTACAACACAACACAGTAATTGTCTTTCTCTATCTCGTGTTTTCACTTACATTTTTTAATTTAGACACTGACCGCCCTAAATCTTTCGAGCAATGGAATCGGAGATGTTGGAGCACAACGTTTGGCATTTGCATTACAACACAACACAGTAACTGTCTTTCTTTCGTTACCTATGTCATGTCTTTACTTACACTTTTTCATCTAGACACTCACCGAACTAAATCTTTATTACAATGCAATCGGACTTGTTGGAGCACAACATTTGGCAGAAGCATTACAACACAACACAGTAACTGTCTTTCTGTCTTTATCTATCTCATGTCTTCACTGATACTTTTTCATCTAGACACTCACCACATTAAATCTTTCGGGCAATGGAATCGGAGCCGTTGGAGCACAGCATTTGGCAGATGCATTACAACTCAACAAAGTGACTGTCTTTCTCTATCTCGTGTTTTCACTTACACTTTTTCATTTAGACACTCACCGTCCTAAATCTCTGGAGCAATGCAATCGGACTTGTTGGAGCACAACATTTGGCAGATGCATTACAACATAACACAGTAACTGTCTTTCTTTCGTTATCTATGTCATGTCTTTACTTATACTTTTTCATCTAGACACTCACCGCACTAAATCTTTATTTCAATCAAATCGGATATTTTGGAGCACAACATTTGGCAGATGCATTACAACACAACAAAGTAACTGTCTTTCTCTATCGCGTGTTTTCACTTACACTTTTTCAGTTAGACACTCACCGCCCTAAATCTCGATTGCAATGGAATCGGAGATGTTGGAACACAACATTTGGCATTTGCATTACAACACAACACAGTAACTGTCTTTCTTTAGCTATATCATGTCGTCACTTACACTTTTTCATCTAGACACTTACCACACTACATCTTTCTTCCAATCAAATCGGATCTGTTGGAGCACAACATTTGGCAGATGCGTTACAACACAACACAGTAACTGTCTTTCTTTATCTATATCATGTCGTCACTTACACTTTTTCATCTAGACAATCACCTCACTAGATCTTGCGGACAATGGAATCGGAGCTATTGAAGCACAGCATTTGGCAGATGCATTACAACACAACACAGTAACTGTCTTTCTGTCTTTATCTATCTCATGTCTTCACTGATACTTTTTCATCTAGACACTCACCACATTAAATCTTTCGGGCAATGGAATCGGAGCTGTTGGAGCAAAGCATTTGGCAGATGCATTACAACACAACAAAGTAACTGTCTTTCTCTATCTCGTATTTTCACTTACACTTTTTCATTTAGACACTCACCGGACTAAATCTCTGGAGCAATGCAATCGGACTTGTTGGAGCACAACATTTGGCAGATTCATTACAACATAATACAGTAACTGTCTTTCTTTCGTTATCTATGTCATGTCTTCACTGATACTTTTTCACCTAGACCCTCACTGCACTAAATCTTTCGGGCAATGGAGTCGGAGCTGAAATTAACGATATAATCTCTAAATTTCTGGAACGCAATAGAACCGGAGCATATAGGGAATGATGATGATGTTGCGTATATTTTTATTTTGCTGTACTATTCGGAAAAACAGTAAATAAAAGTGCTGATTTCTAAACTTAGTGTGTATTCTGATGATAAATTCCAGTTATGTTTTTCGGTAAGTGGTGAAAAGATGCTGTGTTAAAAAAAGATAAATGTGTTTTTTTCAAGAATATTTTGCCACTCTGTAGTACATGCAAAACTAGACTACGGTGGTGTATAGCAACAGTAAAAGTCGAGAGTTGTTTTCAGTTGGAATGAGCCCGAGGCGCCTGAAATCGTTTGTGGGTATGAGTGTGGGCGTTTCTTCTCTTTATCTACACACACCCATACCCTCAAGATAATTCAACAAGAACAATAAGAAAAGTTAAGCATGGCCCTTTTTCTACATATGTTTTATAAGTGAAACTAAAGTTGATGACAGATAGTAAGTCATCAGGTTTCTTTCTACATAGATACTTTAAATTCTTGATTCGGATGAATTAGTATATCGAATTAGTGTCAACTGTATTTCGAAAGTATATAAACTTCATTTGATTCTAAGATAATTCTGAATGTTTAGAAATGTGTGAAAATCTTAAAATCGTCCTTTCGATATCGAGCATCGCATCGCATATTGCAGACGAGTCTTGATTCGTTTGCCATCTAGTCTTTTTTTCTTACTTTCTCGACGTACACATTTAAAGTGGTCATTTTGTGGCACCATTATCTCAGCAATGGAACATCCGAAAATACTCGTTTAAACGCAATAATAAAATATCGAGATCGAATTAATATCCTTCGTATTCCGATTTTCAATAGGATGTTTAGTTCATTTACAGGAAGCGTCACAAGAAAACGATTTTGACTTTTTTAAATTTCGAGCTAGTTAAAACGAAAGGCAAAAGCAAAAGTTAGGCGTCATTTTTCTCTAGCAACTATTTTACAGCTGACAGTGCAGCTGATAATAGATAATGAACTCTTTAGATTACAAAAAAAAGATACGTCATTCTCCAGGATTGTTCTTATGTTCTATACGAGTGAATATTTCATATTATATTTGATCAATATTCAGTGTAGATAATATGTTCTGAACTTGCAAGTAAAAAACTGTTCGATTTTATTTAATTCTAATAGATATAGTTTTATTACACAATCGAAAACATCTATTTTTTTTGAAGTTATTTGTGTAGTATTGTTCTTTGATTGAACATTTATATCCTTTTCAAACAGTCGCCTACTTGTCGTTTCTTTTTCATTATAAAGAAAAGAAAAAATATTTCAGTTCTTTTTCTTTTTTTTTTCAAACTGAGACATACATGTGCATAAGTTGCAAAGTTAAGAAGGTATAAAACGTGTTCGTTTTACTTCATCATATTTGTTTAATATAGTTAATATATAACAAAAAACGAAAAGGTTTTTATGAGCATTCTAATTCAATAAATTGACGTTTTAATTATTTAGCTATATCAATCTAAGCATTTCTGAATATATTTAATTGATAAAAATATTATTATTTTAGTTTTTGTCTGTTCTGAATAAAGGAGGTCATAGGTTACACGTGATGATCGTATATATATACAATAATTTAACTTTTAATATATGAGTATGACAAAATAGAACGAAAAAATCGTCTCATAGAATAATCTAATTTACTTTCTTTGATCTTATGAACATTTAACAAAAAAAGCAAAGCTCTGATTAGTGTTAAAAGAGAATCTTTTTAGAATTTCAGACGACAGAATCAAAGACAACGTCCAAATATACTAATTAAGAATGTGAATGCATTCTTCGATAAATGTATTGTTAATATGATATATTGAAAATAAAAACAAACAGTATAAAAAAATAATTTCACACAAAACGAGCAAAATGTTTACTATAAAACTATATATCCAAGGGGGAAAAAGCGAGACTTCAAGAGTGTGTACTTCACTAGTACTTCACCGGTACTTCACTCTACTTCACTCATACTTCACCGGTACTTCAGTTATACTTCACAAGTACCTCACTAGTACTTGAAGTACAAATGAAATCTCGACTGAAGTAGAAATGAAGTACCCGTGAAGTAGATGTGAAGTACAATGAAGTACCAGTGAAGTAACTTGAAGTACAGTGAAGTACGATACTTCACGGTACTTCAGTCGTACTTCAATTTACTTCAGTCATACTTCACTGGTACTTCATTATACTTCACTTCTACTTCACGGGTACTTCACTTCTACTTCCCTTGTACTTCAATCTACTTCATTCTACTTCACTCTACTTCATTCTACTTCACCCGTACTTCACTGTACTTCACCAGTACTTCAAAAACATTTTGAAGTAGATGAAGTCTCGCTTTTTCCCCTTTGTATATATCACACGAACAAGGTCATAACGTGAGTTTATTGATCAGATCTTTATTCACGGGGTTATTTGATTCTTATAAAATATTTTTAGAGATGGATTTGTAGTTTTAAACTTAGAAATTATTGTTGCCAATTCAGTATTACCAAAATGATTGCTTTGAATATATAAATAACGAAGTGTATTCATATAAAGAATACTCGATGGCATATTTTTCAATTGATTTCCATCAAGATTGAGAAAATAAAGATTTTTAACATACCGAATTTGTGGTGTAATAGATCGAATACGATTTTGATTAAAATAAAAATATTTTTTAGTATTTGTTGCACGACCTAATGTTTGAATATTTCTAAGATTTTTTAGTTTATTATTCGGCATATATAAATCAGTTAGTTGAGATAAATTAACAGGAAGATTTTCAATTGAACAATTATTTGCTTCTATATATTTTACAGATGGATGATCATTGAGTGATTGTATGGAATTAAGATATGGATTATTACCTAATTCAATTTGTCGTAATAACTGATTATTAACAATAGTTGTTGGTAATGATGTCAACATGTTATTTGGTAAAGACAAAAAAATTAATGATGAAATATTACCAATAAAATCTGGAAGAATCATCAGGCTAGTATTGGAACATTTGATTGTTTGTAATTTTTCTAGTTTGCTTATTTCATATGGCAAATGAGTAATGATAGTATCATAAATACGTATATCGGTTAGTGTAGGTGCAAGATATTGAATTTCTGCTGGTATTGTGTTATTCCCATTTTGAAAACTTGTTCCTCGCACATCAAGTTGTTTTAAATGTGTGAAACAAAAACCAGAAGATGGAAAATATATTTCATTAAAAATATTTAAAAAATAAATATTATTATTTTCATCTAATAATCCATACGTTATTTCAGGACTTTGTATGATTGAATTAAGTTCAACATTAAATGGAAATGATTGTAGAATATCATCGTCAGTTTTAAATCCTGAACAATTAAACAACAAATCTAAATGGAGAGTATCTTGCTTTCCTATAATATAAACAGAATGTATACATATATATGATTAAGAAAAACAATTTATAAATTACCTATTTGTTCTTGATATAAATTAACTGTAGTCGCTTTATAAAAAGGTAACATATACATAATCATTAACATTACTGTTGAAAGAACCATTGTATTAAAATTTGTCATCAATAAATTATATTATTTTATCTACAAAAAGGCTATGTTTATATATAATGCAATACTGATAAAATAGCTATTCATCGTGAGTACTGTTTTGGAAAAAATGAACACCGTAATGCGTCATCATGTATATTACAAGAAATTTTATAGAATAATCAATAGATAAAATATTTAATTGAATATGTAACTCATAGGATAATAAGTCAAATTGCATCTGATTATTAAAATGATAAACGAGTAGGAATATTCTTTTTGTTGGGTATGGGTGTGGGTGAAACAAAGATCAACTCATGTCCACACCCACACCCTCAGATGATGCCACTTGTGTTAATGCATAACCCTAATAAAATGAACCAAGAATAACACCACGTGTTTGTTTTGGCCATAGAAGAACTTGACTTGCCTATAATATATTCAAACATATTCTAAATAAGAAGAAAAATATCATATAGATCGACTTTTTTCCACTGTATGTTTATGACATGAAGGTGGGATATTACGAGGAACAGTAACAGAACTAATATCCTTTGATAAAGTTACATTATCCGCATCAGGATCAACCATACAAACAATGCTAACACTAAAATAAATCAATAGAAATAATTTTGTTTTTTTAAAAATTTCAAATACTTTACGAAAGTCCATTTCGTTGAGCATAACAAAGAAAAAAACCAAGAAGTGCCAAACAAGCAAGTAGAAGACGTATTGAACATACCAATGGTGCTATTATTAAAAATGAATATCATTTATTTTTTATTCTAAAATACTATTTCGTTTTTCTCACCTTTTACTTCTTGAGTTCCACTAATCACGTATACATCTTTTTATTTTGCCATAATCAAATTCAAGTCTAAAAGAAGAAGAAACGAAACTTATATTCAAACTTAAAAAACTATCAGAACTTGTATAAAATTATGTAACGACATACAAAATAAAAGTGTCACATAATAGTTTTCATCATCCTCTCAACGATAATTCTTCAAATAATTTATGTATCGTTCTATACATGAAAACGAAATGTAGGGAAGTGTCACGGCAGAAAAAAATGTAATACAAACGTAAGAATGAAAAAAAAGGTCATATATATATACCATGAGAAAATAGACTGCTAACTACCACATTCCACGGTACTTATTTTACGTAAAGAATTACAAATAAAATCATGGATAAGATGTTTTATAAAAAAAAATGTTTAATTATTAGTTGATGATGTGAATTTTCCTTTTTGTCAAGGCTATTTTACGAAAGATGACTAGAGCACCTGCGTTCTTCTTTTATCTATTTTTTCAAACATCTGTTGATCTACGTTGTTCCCTATTCGATAGTCATATCTAAATATAGATTTTTTTTTGTAGAAAAAGAGAAATGTCAGCAGAATTAGAATTATATGAATATAAAAAAAACAAAAAGTGCTTATGCATGAGCTGTAATGACAAACAAAAGAAATTTGATTATTTTCTATGATTATATTAAAAGAAATGAGAGAAAACAGAAATGTCTGTTAACTTATAAGATTGATTTGTTTTGTATATTTAATTGTAAAAGGAAATGAGCATTTAGAAAGCTTTATCTTTATCATGAAATATAAAATCATCTATATACGTTTAGAAAGAGATTTCCTTACTTCTTTTCTCTTAATAAAAGATGACTACGCACAAGTCAATGATTGAAAATAATGCTGATGACAAGCGAAGAAAAAAAGGTTATTCTTTTCTTTTAGAACAATAAAGACGCGCGGATCGCTCGAGCACATAAATATTTACATGCTCGCATTTATCAAAAATCAAACTATGATTGACTAAGAAAAAGAAATGTTATTTAAACAAAATTAATCAGTTGAATAATTACTATTGTCATGCATGTATTCAATAAATTTAGAAAATAACTTGCTTATTTTTTAAAATCATACTGCTTATATTAATAAGATTCTCTATTGTATTGACAATTATAAGTATAGACAGCAGTTTTCTATTGAAAATAAATACTTAATCCTATATGAAAATAATGATTAGTACAAAGCAATCGTCATAGATAAATATTTGGGTGATAGGAGATACTCTTACGTATGTATATAAATCACCTGGCGGTATATGAATACTTAACAGTATAACCTTAAAAACTTAATCATCTCAATTCTGTAATATTTTATCTAATCTTATATTAATAGTTTTATGAAATTACAACTTGTTCTAAGAAAATGTAAGTTTAAAAATTTCAACAAATTTTGAATAGATAAGAGAATATAATTCGTCTATAGGAAATATTCACTACGAAGATTACAAAAATTAATGTATATTACTAATAAATATGTACTATCACTAGCTAATATCAAAAAAAAAAATAAAATATTACAAGATAGAAATAAACAACTTAATGTATAATAAAAATTAATTGATCATGTAAGAATGTAGTAACATATTATATTATATTTATAGTCGCTTAGATGTAGAATGTCCACTAATCGTTATCAATGACGATAGAGGATGACGGAAAACAGAATTATCCATCATTATAAAGTGGCAATGACAAGTTTAAGCCACTTTTTATTTTCTTCATATTTTTATAAAAAGTCCTTTGATGATGACATACAAATAATGGTTTTAGTAGGTCTAGGCATAGGCTACAATAGTGTGTGGGTGTGGGTGTGGGTGACGATGTGGGTGTGGGTGTGGGTGTGGGTGTGGGTGTGGGTGTGGGTGTGGGTGTGGGTGTGGGTGTGGGTGTGGGTGAGGATGTGGGTGTGGGTGTGGGTGTAGACGATGAGATACAATACACTACTACCACTCACCCACACCCACATCCTCACCCACACCCACATCCTCACCCACACCCACATCCTCACCCACACCCACATCCTCACCCACACCCACACCCACACCCACACCCACACCCACACCCACACCCACACCCACACCCTCAAGATAAATACTTAATATTAATAAAAATCTGACTTAACAGTAATATAGTAACACTTTGAGCCATATATTAAACGTTTATTAATTTTTTTTTCTTGACTTCGCAAACATTTATTCTCACGGAATTTCAGTCACAAAAAAAGAGACATTCATTTGATTGATGCGAATAAATGAACTTTAATTAAGAAAAAAATTTCTATTTGATGTTTATATAAATTATATAATTTTATTTTCATTTAAGGTGACATTGTGGAGGAAGTTGAGGCTGCAGTACCACTTCAAAATGTGAGTAGAACTGTCTTTATTTAAACATACTTATTTTTCACTTGTTCAAAGATAAATAATAACATATTTCACAAAAAACTGTCTGTTTTGTTTATTGATGGTTCGATTCCTGTTGGCGATGATCCGGCAAAAGTATCAGCTGAATTCAAACGACGTTGTATTGGTTTAATTGTTGTTGCTAAGGTCACACCTCGTTATGATATTTAGATTTTTTATTATGAATTTGCTCGTAATACGGGTATGTATAAGTAATTGACTATATTCTATGATATCTTAATAGAATCTGTTTGCTAATTTTAGGTAGTGAATACATGTTAACAAAAGATGTATCAAGTATGTGGTCAAGTATTATCAATTGTTCAAATATTAGTGAATTAACTTTTTGTTTATTTTTGACCCATATGCTGGTACCTCAGGTAATTACAATAATAAAGAAATGTAACGTATATATCAAAGAAGAGAAATAAAATCCATTAGATATGAATTTCATTTATTCAAACAGTAAAAATATTCAGTCTTAATTGAATTCGATATATTTAAATCTTTGAATAAAAATTGATGCATTTCTTTCAAATAAATAGTTCATAGCTCTTCAAAAAGTTCAACAATCATGATAAAGAGATTATTATACCTTTTATAATTCGTTTTTTATTTGAAATTACACTTTTGCTTTCATTGTATAAAAATATATCAAAATTAATATTTTCAAATACATAATGAAAAGTCTGAATGATCTTAGGATCATATTTACGTTAGAAATATGATTAAATAATGAGAGAGATATGTTGTATCTTTTTTAGTATCGTTAAAATTCTTACTTTTATTACAGTATTTATGAATTTGTTTTTTCGTGGGAAAGAGTTACGATTATTTTCTGCTAAACAAAATAAAAAGAGTTTACCTTGGATTGGATCAGTATTTGTATCATATGTCTTCAAGGACAACTAGCATATCGTAAGAAAAAAAACAAAATAGATTAGTAGATTAACAGGAGATTGATATTTCCTTTGTTTGTTTATCTTTGTCTATACTGTAAATTTTTTTCGTTGCACAGATACACTGTCAAAAATGTGTCCTTCATACGTCATATTTGACTGCTTTCTTATGAACTCATTGATTCTTAGAATAGATGCAGATCTTCATGAAATAACAGATGGTGATGGAGATTTGCCTTTTGATCATAATTTATATTAATGTTACAAATCTTATTAACTTTTTCTTTATCATCAGTCGTCTAGTATGATATTGTTGCAATATGCAACAATATAGTACTAAACGTCTGCATAGTTTTGTTTTTAAAATGAAAAATCAATATTCGAAAAAACATTCAATATCAAAATTGTAGAAAAACTTCGAAGCAGTTATTGTTAAATGTTTCCTTTTTTTTGATTTATACCGTCAAAATAAAATATTAATATTTTCCATCCTGCAGATAAGGAAAAAAAAATAATCGTTTTTAATTTCACGACATAAATTTAAATCTCAAAAAAATTTGAAAAATACTGATTTACACCTTATTGAGGGTATTTCAATTCAAAATTTGATGTTCTTTGTATTTTTCTACAAAGAAAAGCAGTCTTTTACCCACGTGTTTTGACAAAAAGTATGAAGTTTTGAATCAATGCAAAATTGAATGAGAATCAATCATAATTTATAAACAAATGCAAGACTCAAAAACTCTTGAAATTTTTTCTAATGAAGCGGACATCAAAGATCTTTGTTCATTGATAATAAAATAGAATTTTGAATATTTGTATTTGTGACAATGTTGAGAATGTGAGCGGAAGTGCAGAGTAAATTAAATAGTGACAAACACTTTTTGATATTCTCACAATATCATAAACTAAATACACATTTAAATGATACAGTTTATATTTTATTTAAAAAATAAAAGTATTTAAAATTTTTATTATATACAGAAAGACTTCGTCGCGATTAATTAGCCTGTGATTAAAAATTGAATTGTAGATAATATGACTTGTTTGATATTTCCTTCTATATTAGTAGCATTATTTATATCCAATAGAGAATTTTCTGTATGTGTATGAGTAAATGCTTGATGAAGCGTATATCCATCCGAGAGAGTTAATAAGATAATATGAGCAAGAATATCAAACATATTTGATATTAAGTAATATTCACCACCTAAAATAACAATTAACAATTAATATAAGTAAATTATTTATTTAAACCTGTATTACGAGCTGATACACGATATAAATTCCAAAAATCGAAAATAGGTGTTTGAAAAGCCGCAATCACCAATGTAATATCTCGTCTAAAAAATTCATCTGACACAGTTGGAAGAACAACACCAAGATCATGCACACCATCGATTATCATAACTGCTAAACTTTCATGGAAATTCTCATGCTTATTCTTCTAAAATATAAATCAAAAAAAAAATAAATTTGGTAAAGTGAAAATAAGCTTACTCGCAGTACGTACTCGAAAATTATATAGTTGCTGTTCCACGAAATTACCTTAAATTATAAGCAAACATTTCAGAGCATAAAAATATATTTATTGAGCCAGAAGGAGTACATAACCAGATTCAAATAAAACTGTAGTTAGCATAATAAAGACCTTCAAGGAGAAACTCATGGTATCATTAATAAAATTTCGTTCTAAATAGATTCTATGTTCTATAGTTAAAGTTCAAGAGAAGTAACTGATCTGAGAATCAGGCTAGATATAGAAATTATAACTAAAGATTTTTGCTTACAAAATGCGATGGTAACCGTTTGATGTTTTTCGGATGCTTGAATATTATTCAGTGACTGTTTAATAACAGAAGTACCTTGAATAGGTGCATGCCTATCTGAGCGAAATTGTATACATGATAATTTAATACAATCTTGGTTAAGTGTAAACAAAGCACAAGTAATTGCAGTTGTCATGACAATTAATTATTTGACAGTAAAATCAAATATAAGCTAAAAGGTGTGTGATAATATGTCAACATTATACGAGAAATATACGAAATGATTGATACAAAAGTTTTCAGCAGTAGTAAATTTTTGCTTTCTTACATTGAAAATCACGTGCAAGAAGTTAAAGGTCGAGCTGTTACTCATCCATCTTTTGATTTTTTAAACAAACGATAAATTCAAGGATATGCACACTTTTATACGTAAACTCATATGTAATAATATTTTATAGTATGAATATTACTTACTGTATCACATAAACCAAATATCAGTTTCTGATCTAGTAAAAACGGATGTATTCAAGTTTTGTATACAAAAAAAAGAATTTTTAAATCAAAAATACAGACAATTATGAATGAGTGACAGCATTTTTACGTGTTTTGTTCTCCATCGATCGTCTTTTACGGTTTCTTCCTTGTTTATCGAAAAAATGCGTCATGTTTTTCTACGTCATTGTACTCGTAGTGACTAATATACTGTTATATGAATAATTGCTCAACTTTCAAGTTTATTATTTCGTTTTAAAACTATCGTATCTATATTCTGTAAAGTCAACATAATAAAAAAAATTACTGCATACAAAGATACAAATGTGAACGTAATCTTTTGCTATTGCAAAACTGTAATTAGTATTTTGATAAATAACACAATTTAATCATGTATACCGGCTTTAACCCAAATATCTTGACGAATAAATTGACCACTTGTTTCAACTAGAATATAAAAACGGATCTCTGCAGGAACCTTATCATCCACTAGTGCACTAAGACCTGTGATGCAATAAATATGTTTTCATTTTTTCTGTATTTTTCGTGCGAAAAGAGAAAATCTGTTAATATTTAAAATGATGAGAAATATCATACTGGCTCGTTTAGCATTCACCAATTGATCTATTGGATCCTTTGAGCGTAAAACTTTCGTTGATGTTAACATTACAAGTTATTATAAGAGTACAAAAAGATAAATGTTACTGTTAGACTTTTTTATCAGACAACTAGAGAAGTTTGTTAATTTGATAACAGTATATACTGTTACTATGTTAACTATTATTCTATTGGTAAAATATTTGAACCAATGAGTAGAAGATTGGAAAGAATATGAATCATTCTAACGTGTAATATTCTTTTTTTTTATTTCGTAATGAGAGCAATTGGTACAATATTTTTTTTAGATTCATTTTTATATATTGCGTATGCTGATGATAATATTATGATATAATTTCAAAATGCGTTTAATGAAAAAACTTCTCGATCGCGGTTCAGCGGGTGAACTTAAACTTGAACCCGAAGAACAAGAAGATATGTGGCATGCTTATAATCTAATTGCTGTTGGTGATAGTCTTCGTGCAACAACTGTACGAAAAGTTGTTCAAACATCAGATACTGGTTCATCAACAACAACTAAAAGACGTATGATGTTAACAATTGAAGTCATGGATGTTGATTATGATAGTGCAGCATGTGCACTTAGAGTTAAAGGACGTACAATAGAAGAAAATGATTTTGTTAAAAAAGGTTATTGATTATTTTCTTTTTCATTTTAAATTTATTTTAACATTCGTTTTATTTTTAGGTTCATATCACACTTTAGATTTAGAATTACATAATGCTTTCACATTGCGAAAACATGTATGGGATTCTATAGCATTAGATCGTGTAGAAGTGGCTTGTAATCCTGCCAAACAAGCTGATGTAGCTGCAATAATTATGCATGAAGGTTTAGCTAATGTATGTCTAATAACAGAACATTTAACAATAAATCGACAAAAAATTGAACATACAGTTCCGCGTAAACGAAAAGGTCTTTGTGCTCAACATGATAAAGGAATGGAGAAATTTTTTGATGTAATCATAGCTGCTATGATAAAACATATTAATTTTGGTATTGTTAGAGCAATTATTGTTGCCAGTCCAGGTTTTATAAAAGAACAATTTTTTCAATATATGTTAGTTAAAGCAGCACGTGATGATCTAAGACAAATACTTGAAAATCGTACTAGATTTATATTATTACATTCAAGTAATGGTTTTAAACATGCTTTAACAGAAGTTTTACAAGATCCATTAGTAAAAGATCGTTTAGCAGATACAAGAGCAGCTGGAGAAATGAAATTACTTGATCAATTTATGCATCTATTAAATGATGAACCAGAAAAAGCTTATTATGGTCTTGAAGTTGTTGAAAAAGCTAATCAAGCACAAGCAGTTGAATGTAATAAATAAATATCGAATTAATTACAAAATATAACCAATTGTCTATTTTTTTTCTAGGTCTTTTGATAACCGATGAACTCTTTCGAAATATTGATTTTGTAAAACGACGTCGTTATGTAAACCTTGTTGATTCAGTTAAAGAAAATGGTGGTGAAGTTCGATTATTTTCTAGGTAGGTTTTTTTTGTACTTGTATTTATTAAATTTTAATTATTTCTTTTTAGTATGCATGCATCTGGTGAACGATTAGGTCAATTAACAGGCATTGCTGCTATTCTACGTTTTCCTATGCCAGATCTTGATTTAGCTGATGATCATCATCATCATCATGAAACGAATAATGAACAAGATGAATTTAATAATGGTGATCTACAATCAAATCCTAATCGAACAGTTAATCATTTTAATAATAATAATGATGATAATAATGATAATGAATCAACGAATAATTATCGAACATTGAATGAGAATCGAGCTGAAGCATCAGCTTGGTGATAATAATGATGATATTGTTCATCTGTATCATTAGGCAAATCTTCTTTCTTTTGTTCTTGTTCTTTATTTATTTTTTGGGTATCAACTCTTGTTCACCTTTTCACATGTGTGTATTTTCACACGATCTGCGCATAAAAAGAATATGAGATATTTATTATTATTCTTGAGTTCTATTTCTCAACTCTTTATTTTTTTTTCCTCTTGTGTTCATTTATATCTTTTTTTTCTGCTTTCTATTGTCGTTGCATTGAAGTAAAATGAAACTTAAGACTATATCCATCGATATGAATCATTTTAAATAATTACAAATTGTCATATCTCATTGATATTATGAAATATACACTTATAATATAAATCTTCTTACAATGAGCAATAGATTAACGAGGGAACCACTCGAGCTATCAAAAAGCTTCTAAGCTGTAATTTTGCCCACAAGTAGGGGATACATAGACTAGAAAAAGTCTAAAAGGATATTTGCTCAAGTTGGTGTTTGACTGAGATATCGTAGTCGATATCTCAGTCAAACACCAACTTGGGCAAAATTACAGCTCAAACGCTTTTTGATAGCTCGGGTGGTTCCCTCGTGAGATCATAGAAGTCTATTGAGAACTGCTCTATATATCTATATAGTAAAACGAGACAATTTTTTGCTCGATTTAGTGCGACATCTAGATGAAAAAACATATGTTTATTAAATTATGTTAAAAAGAAATTTTAATTAATCTATATATTTATTTTCATATATGAAATAAGGTTAGAAATTGAAATTTATGATTAATAATTTTGATTGGTTTTAAAAATTGATTTTCTAAGCCACGTACTCCTACCAATAATTTTGAATGATTATGTTTACAAAATTCCACATATCACTCACTACAACATCTGGTGCCTTTCGATTTCAACTGTCTTTATTCTAGATAAGCGTGTGATTATCATTAACTAAATTAGCAGTAAAATTAGTTTAGATTTAAGATGAATATCTTTCGTCTATTAGGGGATTTTTCTCATTTGGGAGCTATCATTATTTTATTACTTAAAATTTGGAAAACACGTTCATGTGCTGGTAAAAAAAATTCATTTATTTTATTTATCATTAATTAAAATATTATAATTTTAAGGTGTATCTGGCAAGAGTGTTTTACTCTATGCTATTGTATTCACATGTCGTTATCTTGATTTATTTACTCATTATGTTAGTTTATATAATTCGGTTATGAAAATAATTTATCTTGTTTCAACATATTTTACATTGTATTTGATTTATCGTAAATTTAAAGCAACATATGATCGAAATCATGATACATTTCGTATTGAATTTTTAATTTTACCTTCAGCTGTTCTTGCTCTATTATGGAATCATGAATTTTCAGTCCTTGAAGTAAGATTTTTGAAACAAAATCTTTGTTCTTTTTTAAAACAAAAAATGTTTTTTGCCTTTAGGTTCTTTGGACATTTTCAATTTATCTTGAATCAGTTGCTATACTTCCTCAATTATTTATGGTTAGTAAAACTGGTGAAGCTGAAACAATTACAAGTCATTATTTATTTGCATTGGGTATCTATCGATTTCTCTATATTCTTAATTGGATTTATCGTTATTATACGGAAAATTTTATTGATTGGATTTCAATTATATCCGGTATTGTTCAAACGGTTCTCTATTGTGACTTTTTTTATCTTTACATAACAAAAGGTGAATAAGAAAAATCAATATTTGTTTTCTTCAAATGATTTTTTATTTCTTTTAGTTTTGAAAGGAAAAAAATTATCTTTGCCTGCATAAAATCTCGTTTAAATATTGGCAACTTATCTTCATTTGACTTTATTTCTTCTTATATTCCTTTGGCTATTTTGTTTTGTTTGTTTTTTTGTTCAACACAACAATATTGTTATCAAGTGTCTTTGAAAAAGAAAAACTTAACTAGACACAGAAGTTTTGTTATTCTATGATCAAATCTTTTCATGTTCGTCTTTTTTTTCTATTCTATTATAAAAAAAAACACCATTTACATTCACTTCTTCTTCAGTTTTTGCTTTGTGCATGTTTACTTCCCTATTGTCTGTGTGTTTTACTTAGAAATAAATTTCACAAAAAAAACAAAAAGATAAGAGGAGAAAAAAAACTAAAAGCTATATCTAAGTAAATCGAAATTTTCCTTTCATTACTTTGTCAATCTATTATTGTTTTGTACGCTCTTATTTCATTTCTTATTTCTGGGTTTCTTTGGGCTTTATCGTTTTTATTCAAATAGAGTATCTGCGCATCTTTTTTTTTCCTTTTTGTCATCATTATATTCATTATTAAAGTTAACAAAACTGAACATTATTTCATTCCATTTTACTTTGTTTTTACAGATGTCTGAAATAGAAAATAAATCAAAAAAATCCCGTACAGGTTATTTAACATCACCAATAAATATAAATGCTGCTAATCATCTTTCATATTTATTTCAAGTGAGTTATATAATAAAGAAATCATAATGATAAGATTGTAAGTCTAAATTAGACAGCACATACAGTTTTATTAACAACAGCGGATTTTAATTTGGTACGACATCTTGTTAAACAAATTCGTGTACATGCTCGAAAGAAACAAATTCGTTTGTGAGAAATCATTATTTAAAAAAAATTGTTCTTTTATTCAATCTATTAATAGACATCCAGAAATGAAACGTTTACTTTGTTCATGTTGTAATATGATTTTATTATCACCATTAACTGCGAATATTCGTTTTAGTATGTGTACAATTACGGGGATCTCGAGTAGTGGCGTAACCAGAAATTTAAGGATGATGGGACTCAGCCCCAAAACTGTTTATCCCATGTAAAAAAGACGTATAAAATCTGATTTTCATCGATTTTCATGAATTTTTCCAAAATAATCGATTTTAATCAGGGTTATCAATATTCTTGCATAAGTGAGTGAATATCGAGCTATATCGTACCTGAAAATATGATAAGAGTATCACAGATTGCTCTATTATTGTACTTACTATTTGTCGATACGAGGATTCTGAAAACAAATTCGGGAAGTCTGGCCAATAGTCGACAACCAGAAAAAAACGCGTTTTACTTCATTGTGATTAAAATCGATTTTTTGGGAAAGTTTAATCTGGAAATGTGGTAATTAATCAGATTTTCTTGATTTTTCTCAAAAAACCGATTTTAATCAGATTTTTTGTAGTTTTTTTACATGGGTATTCTTTTAGATTTTTTGATTGACAAGTTCAGTAACTAAAAAATCCCGGTGATGGGACTAAGCCCCATCTGGCCCCAGTGTAATTACGCCACTAATCTCGAGAGATGTGAATGTCATTCGCGTCTTTCGTATACCCTCAATTATAAATTTATTTTTTGTTAAGATAAACACAAAACAGGTATTATTGTAACATGTTCAACATGTGGTCGTTTTCGTCATTATCCTAAAGATAAATCTTGGGCAACAGAACATGGTGCTCATACACCAAGCGATTGGCTTTTTAATAATTCTTCATTGGAAAAAAAGAATTAAACCTTATTTTGTATATTCTAGATGGTTAAATTTGATCCTCATTTTCGTTTTTTAAAATACAAACCACCCAAAAATATACCTAGGTAATAGAATATAATATAACAGAAGATTTATATTTATATTCTTTAATTTAGAGCTATTATTTCACCTAACTATCGTCTTAATCAATTTCAATTTCGTCAAGCATTACCTGCACGATTACGTGATTATGTTCGAGGTGGTGGAATGACTGCATCAGGTTTACTTTTTTGTTTTTATTTATAGTAGGATTAATATAATTTTGTATTTTTAGAGTATACATGTGGTCCGTTAATGAATATTGTATGTATACTATTTCAAAAAGAAAACAAAATTATAATCAATTGTTTATTTAGATGTTAACTTGTTTACAAAAACATGAGTATGACAATTTTGGATGTGAGAAAGAAGTAGGCGACTTTTATGCCTGTGTCAATGAATTTCAGGTATGAAATAAATACAATATTTCTTTATTAAAAAAGAACTAAAACTTATTGATATGTTAAATAGGAAACGAATGCTGTTGAAAAATCAAATCTTAAAGGTGGTGGTGATGCAGATAAGGTCGTAAAACAATTTGCAAAAAATCGTCAACCAGCTTGGCTTTCAAATAAACTTTTAAAATCCTTTCCTACATCATCATCTGTTGAATAAAATATAGTTTTTTTTCATATTTTGTATTTTGTTAGCATATTACAATAAAAGTTTATGAAATTGATCTGTCCACTCATCTGGGCTAAGTCAGAAAAATGCAAAATTTGTGCTCTCATCTTGTAATTTTTAAGGTACTAGAAGGATGAAATAAACAATAATAAAAACATGGCCATTTTTAAAACGTAATTCCGTCACAGAAAACATGATTCCGTCAAGCTTGAATAGGTCGAAATATAAATATTTTGTATTTATATATTTCAAGTACGATAAAAATTAATTATTTCATAACTTTTCTTTTTATCGGAAGTAATGACTTTTTTTTCTATTTACATATGTCATGAATTACTTTTATACATACATCTATATGTAAGTACATTGATGTGACAATAATCAATATTTGTTACATTAGAGAATTTTTTTTCATTCATTGGGGTAATAAAAAGACGGTTGGTCTTCTCTTAAGTATTTATTATAAATATATAAACATCACGACATATTTACATATAATCTTTTATGCTAAAGTGTTATGAGAATGAAAAGAAAGAGTATTTGTATATATATCTATATTCAATACCTTGCCTTCTCTCTCACTTTTTTGTTCTTTATAAAATTTTGAGATGCCTCTCGTTCTTGTTATTTTGTATCTATAAATATTAAACTATTTTCATTACGTGTATCAAAAAATCTTTACCCGTATTCTCTTTTTTGAGAATATATTTTCCGTTCAGGTAAGTCATGCATACTAATATACGTTTGTATCAGATCTAGTTCCTTTCATGTATAATTGATATCAATAGATCTAATAAAAGAATGTTTTTCCTGTCGTAGATAGTATATAGAACGTTTTGATACAATAGCATGTGCAATTGATTCCTGTTTTTTCGCTATGTTAATGTAAAATGTCAAGGACTAACTATATACACACTAGGCATGACAAAAGTGAATGATGATCCATTGAATGAATTTTTTTTTCTTGTTCTTAGAAATGACAAACTCGAGATAGTCATTGAATAGAAACTACTCAGATAAATTTTGTCATCTCTAAGTAGAAGATGCGATAGAAGCACAAGAAAAAAAAGAAGAAGAAGAAGAAGAAAAAAAATGATAAAAAGAAAGAGAAAAGAAAAGACGATGTTGGAAGATGTTTCTTCGTTCGTCAGCAATTCATAGTGTATTTCTTGAGTTGACAGACTCGAAAAATGCCTTATCCATGTCATTTTCAGCGATCAGATACTCGTTTATTATGACTGTGTCGCATGTATGAGAGACATAAACACTAGTGACAATCGTCAGATTATGGCTTCTTATACAAATAAACTTTTTTTTTATTTGTCTATCATTAAATATAAGAAGACTAGTGAGTAAAAGTATTCATTATGTATACATCATTTTTTTCCCTTCGTTGACTGCTTGAAGAAAATATTGATAAGTAATAGTTTATTATTGTGACTATTACTCTCAAAGAGATATATATATATAGTCTTATTTCATAGCACAAGGTTACTTCTTTTTTTTTTAACAAATTATATTCTATCATGTTCTGTTCTTATCTAAGAAACTAAAAATAGTAGTACTATGTTCTTTTATTATATTAAATAAAACATAAGTAGGAAATTTGTAGTAAGATTCTTGTAGAAATTAATTGCTCTTTCTTTTGAAGATAAAAATTGTTTTCTTATCATGCTAATTAAAGTTAATTTAATCATTATAGTTAATAGTACCTTTTAGTAGATTATTTTGTGCGACACTTCTGTTTTTAATGAGTATAATTGTATATGACATATATAACATTACATACAGTCTTGGGAATTTCATGTGTTAATAGTTGTAATAAGGCATTAGTATACTGTTGTTTTTATGTCCTTGTTCTTTTGTCTTTCGCACACATATTAAAATAATATTTTCGTCATTATGAAGAATTTTTTAGAATAACAGAATAACACAGATGACGCGTAATCAATTAATAACGAAATAAGTCGCTAGTATTTATCTTTATATTACTAAGATGAATGATATTAGTTGGGAAAGAATCTGAAACACAGATAGAAGTCGACAACATTAATCCGATGATTAGATTTAGCAGCAGTTAATCTATCATCACGAATACTTTAATTATTGATCTAAACGATTCATTGGAATCACGTACGTTTCTATTATGAAGTAAGATATACAATTCATTATGTAAAAATACTTGCTATTATTATTATTATTAAAAAAAAACTATTTACCGAATGCTGAGGGTTGAATATCAGTCTAGACTGAACTGATCTCAAATTTACTAGTATTAATTATGTCATCAACCACTTGAAATTAAGTATTGTCACAATAAATAATATACAGTTATTATTCAATGTTGATATAATAATGCATTCTGTCACGTTTTAATTAGTTAAATATAGTATCAACGTTGCGGTTATAATACTTCGAGCAAAAAAAAAAGATTATATTTTAATTCCTCTACCATAGGAGTGTGAAAAGTATTTTTCTTTCGTTGTGTCCGCATACCTTACGAACAGTATGAATAAGAAGAAGACGACGAAGTGTTTTTTTTCACTCTGAAGAATTATATTGCACATTTCAATTTTCTTCAAGCCATGAATTCTGTTGTTTTGAAAATTTCTTCTTTTTTTTGTTTGAAAATTTTAATATGTAGATGAACTTTATCGTTTAGAATAAATGACAATAATGCAAATAAATTATGAATATTAATCGATAATTATTAATGACGCGCTCGACTAGTCGAGCCGGGCATCAGCCAAATCTATGGCTTTTGTTTATTTTACGTTTAAGAAAATGGTTTCAACTGCGATATTTATTAACTATTTTAATATGTCTTATTCTTTTAACATATTTACGTCTTATAAATCATGCACCTTCTGATCAATTATTGTTTGATAATTTAAAACCTGTTGTTGAAGAAGAGAAAAATTATCTCGATAATGCTAATTCAAATAAATGCGATTTTAAAGAAATTGAATACTTACTTCGTTATACTTCTTTAAAAAATTCTAAAAATGATAGTCGTCCACGACCAACAATTGAACGATTACATACACTTTTTCAAATTCTTATTTCTTCTGAAGATAAATATCGTGAAATATTTAAATATTTAAACATATTTCGTTTTTCTGATATACATAATACATTACGTCCATATGCCAATAATACTGAACGTTTATATGATATTTATTGTATGTTTCAACGTTATATTACTATATCAGATAATGGTCATATTGATATAGCACCAAGTTTTATCCAATATTTAAAACAAGTTTCAAGTTATTTATCAGATGGTTATAATAGTCAACATTTACAATGGAATAAAACTTCTATAAATGATATTCAAAAGCCAGTTGTTATTCTTGCAGCTAATACACATTTTTATCCTATGTTACAAGCATCAATGCGTACAATTAATCAATATTTGAAAGACTATAAAGTTGTTATATATGATCTTGGATTAAGTTCAATTCAATTGAATATGGTAAGTTTTAACTAATGAGTATATTCAACTCTGAAAATTGTATGATATAAGTATAAATTTTGACGAAAAGAAGTTAGAAAGAACTATTTCATTTATAACATTGTAAACTATAGAATAGAAGATTGTTCTTAGTGTTATTTGAAATCTCAATATCGTTACAACTACGATCTGTTTGTTATCGTTGTATATATGGTGGTGTCCGAACTGAATATAAAAAGATTTTTCTATTAGGCAAATCGAATTAGTAGCTGTAGGTTAAAATTTATCGAAGAAAAATGTCAAATCTAATGGAACGCGAGAGAACAATGAATTTTATGATTTATTGCAGATTATTATAAAAATCTCGATTATGTCTTTTCAATTAATATAGAGCGAGTAAATTGAGTACTTAACATGAAGTTCTAACTTCTCTTATTGATTTCCGGAGATTTGAAAGCTAAATAGGACTCTTAAGAGTGCTCGATAAAAAAAATCTTTCTTTTTTTTCTTAATAAATTGTCATTGATTGTTGTTTCTAAGTTTCTGATTTATTTTAGACTCAAGAAAATTGTGATCGTTGTGTAATTATTAAATTTCCATTTCATGTAGTTGAAACTGTTGCTCCTCATGTTCGAATGTTAGGTAGTTTTGCTTGGAAACCAATTGTAATTCAGGTAGAAGTTTTATATTTAATAAAATTTAAATATAAAAAAACTTCTATGTCTAGGATGCTCTACGACGGTTTGGTTCGATTATTTACGGTGATACTTCTGTTCGATATAAAACATCAAATTTCAATCGATTACTTATTGATAATTTAATACGTGGTTTTTCCTGTCGTGAATTACCCTCACATTATGTATCATGTTACACTTTAAGTAAAACATTTACATGGTTTAATGATACATTTAAGACATTCGAAGATATTTATATTGCTGAAGCTGGTTTTCTTGCTGTAACAGATAACTTTTTATCAAGACTAATTCTTAAAACATGGGTAACATGTGCACTTGATTCCGATTGTATAGCACCAATAAAATCGAAAACTGAATGTAAACGTCTAACTGTTCAAGCAAATGTGCATCGTTATGATCAATCAGCAATGGTAATTGTACTATCATATTATTTTTTTCCAAGTTCACGTCATAATGATAAGAGTGAACCAGCTCCGTATGATATGTATTCATCAATACAAGCAAGCATCGCTGACGTTCGACGTGCCGAAGGTGATCCGAATTATTTTACAACAAAAAAAAATCTGAATCAATAACTGAACAGTTGAAAAGTTGTTAAAAAAAATACAGTAAAATTAAATTATTGTAGCATCACTGTGATAATATACCATAGGAGAAGTTTGTTTTGTTATTTTTTTTAATTTATTAATAATAAAAAATTTAAATATGATAGATTCAATTTCTTTGATAATTTAATATTATTTCCAAAATTTTGTTATACAACTTCGTCGAACGTTCAAAAAAACATTTACTTATTTATTCGCTTGAGAGAAACCTTCTATTGATACTCTTCTCTCCTTTTACATAATAACATCGTTTCTAGCTACTAGAAAAAAGAATTGATCCGTTATAAACATAACAACTTATATGAAAATGATATCTCAAGTGTATTTGCATGATCGGATTACAAAAAAAACATAATTCATTATAGTTTTTTTATCATTTATATTTATTCTTTATAATTCGATTTTATGTTTTTATTTGTTTTTCCAACAAGCAGTTATTCATGATGAATACTCTTCTTATATTGATAGAAAAGTCAAAAATTGGTCTGTCTCACAAGATGTAACATGAGAACATCGTTCGTTTCATAGTAGAAAAATTCTCACGTTAAAAGTAAATAAAAAGATATATTCTACGTATTTACAATGTAACCTCCTGAGATTTTAAAAATAGCACGGCATAATATCTTTGATACTATCCCTAAAGTAGCTATGTGCATATAAAAGAAAGCAAATGTAATCTTCGAAAGAATAGCGTTCGATGCACTTCATATTTTATTCATTAAATCTAAATCAATCCTTGAATAATTAATCACAAATGAAAAGAGGATGTGTGAATGAAGCAGAAATTAGATCAATATAAGTACAAATACTTTTAAATGCATCGTCAAACCTGATTTTGATTAGTACGTATTTTCGTAGTTTAATGGCATTTACAACACAGACAAATCGGAGATAATACGTAGTACTATTAAACCAATACAATCTATATTTTTGTCACTGATAATAAATAACAAAAGGTGGATAATATAAAAACTTATTCGTGTGTGCAATGTTTCTACTAAAGCATTGCAAATAGTTAGTGGTTATTGACAGGTGAAAACAGTATTTTGACTTTTCATGTGTTGATAAAGATCGAATACGTGTTTAAATAAGGTAAAACATGGCAAGGTCATTCAAACTATATAAATTAACATTTTAAAAACCTAAAATTATTCGATAGAAGCAAACGAATCGTTTTAGGTAACATTAGTTAAGTAAAAAGTACGAAAAGTAACATGTATTGTACTACGTATCCAATAATTAGAATTAAGGTCTTTAGCTTATTTTTGTTGCACTTGTTTGACTATGAAAAATATCAGGTCTTTCCAAACCGATTGTAAGTAATATAACTAAACCACTCTTTGAACAATTAATAATACTTTACAAATTTCACCGTGGTGACTATCCAAAAGCAGGTATTCATCATCACATACTAAACTTGGAATATTTTATGATAATTCTAATGATCTAAGTTAAAGGATAATTAAAAAATTTTTCAAAAGTAAAGTTTCTTATTCTAAAACAAGAGTATATGATTTTCTTTCATTTTTATAGAGAAATCGATTCTTTTGTTTTTATTTTAAAATAATAATAAGAGTAGTAGTATTTGTAATACCGATTGAACAAAAAAATAAGAAAGATAAAATATAGGTGAACTAGAATTTGGTTGAACTACACCTATTTTACAACGTGCATCCGTTGACTGACGTGTACATCCATCAACACCACCTGGACAATTAAAATTTATTTGTGATTGAAGATAATGTTCAAGTTGTTGAAATTGATTTTGGACATCTTGTTGTGGACATTTATCTAATCGTGATTTTAAACAACGAAAATAAGTTGTTGCTTGTTGACACCAACCACGTTTATTCATAGTATTCCATGATGGATTAAATTTAACATTAATCATCAATGGTTGACATAGATCATTGATTGCTTTTACTTGACATATATCATTGGGTCCTGATGCTTGAATAGTCAATGTATCAGAAATACCAGTTTTTGCCGGTACATTATCTCGATTATGTGAACCACCGCTACGAACTGAATCACCTGCTTCAGGTTGTTTAGGAGAATCCCAGACGATATTAAATTTATAATCTTCTATTTTATCACTACAAAATGCTAGAAGATCATCGACACGTTTTCGAATACCTAAAAACAATATAAAAAAAATTCTCAATCTAAATTCTATATAGAGAAGAAAACAAATCCTTACCTTTCATAATGGATTCCATTGCCATTTCATATTTTTCTTTATTTTCACAACCACGATATTTTTTATGAACACATTCGAAATAAACTCGTGATGCTATACAATATTTAATTGGATCTGTTTCACGATCTTCTTTTTCCGGCTTTTGACCACATGCACGTGAACCCATTACATCACATGCATTTATATTCGATAACATGATAATTATTAAAATAAAGGAAAAACTCATTAAATAATAGTACTTCATCTTGTCTCATTGAAATATCAAATGATTATATGCAAAAAAGAAAGGCATTAATGTTTCACGATGTGTTCTTGTCACCTTTTTCGTTCAATAAAAGATTATAGTAGATGCGCGTTGTTAGCAGTTTTAAATAATCAAGAAAGAACAAGAAAGCTCATACACGTACGAACTATGAAAATTTCTTTTCTTTTTGTTTTTTTTTGATTTTTTTTTTCGTTATACGATCGATAGTTGTTGCATCAACGAAAAATACCAATAAACTTCTGTACGGGTAATCGTTGACATTTTCTCATTAAACAAACAACAAGAGCTTTATTGAACGATAGTTATAAAAGAGAGAGAGAGAACAAATATTTATTCAATAACAAAACTGATGACCCACACGGTTATAATCAAACAAAAAATTATATCTATTACGTAGTTTCACATCAAGATGTTTCAATCCACCATGATTTTAGTCCTAAACCTGGTTCAGATATTGAACCGATAATTGTATAAGGTACTTTTTTATCATCATCATTTCCAGTATTCTGTGCTACTGATCCACCATTATTTGGCATTTCTTTTGGTGCTGTATCTTCAAAAATTTCTTGTACAACTCGAAATCTAAGAGAAATATTTTAATATGAAAAAATTTCTTTTAATTTTATCTTACCGAATTTCTTCACCAATATCCATTACAAGATCATGTGTTTCATCATCAGTTTCATATTGCCATGCCCATGTTTGCTCAGCTTCTATGAATCGAGATGGATGTTGAAGTTTAGTCGATGGAATGAGAATATCATCAAAAAAGCCTATTTAATAAATATTTTTGATAGAAATATTACATTTTGTTTTCTTTTCGTTTTTACCTAAAGTTACAGTAATACCATCTTTACTTGATGATCGAATTTTACCTTTAAAAATAAAGATAAACATGAAGATTATTTCTTACATCTCTACTAACTATGAAACACATAGATAAATCAGCTGCTCCTGACTTTTACTCTATGTTGTCAATGTCATCACTATGAAATTCATGTTAAAGAAATAAAAATTCTTACCAACAAGAATCTCATCAATATTTGGACGAAAAACAACATAACGAAATTTAACTTTAATATGAAAATTAGCATCTGATGGTAATAGAATACAATCACCCATGGATAAAATATCATACAAACAAATACATAATCCTAATTCTTGAAAAATTGTATTGGCTAATTTACGATCGAGTTCTTCAGCTACAATCATACTCAATTGTTCATTGAATAAATGTGGTGCAATAGAAACTGTATCGTCTAATGTAGCAACAACAAACATTCTTTCTAGAAGATGATTTTTAGAAATAAAATTATATTTTAAAAAAAAAAGGTTTTATTTTTTGAAACATATTTGATTCTTGTTTATTTGTTTCTTAAAAAAAAAATTTTCTAATAGTAATCTATTGTGTATCCTTATCAGTCATTGCTTTTTTAGTACGTTGTAATACTGGTTTATCACCAGTCGATTTTGAATCGAAATGAGAAGGAGATGATTCAATTGCAGGAGTAGATGAAGAAGACGTTTGGGTCGTTGATTGGGAAAGAAAACCTTGTCGATCTTTTGGTTGAAGATTACTATAAATAGATAATGCTGATGCAATCATCGATGACATATCACCGGTATTGCTTGGTAAAAGTATTGTATTATTGGTTTTAGCAAGTTTAGAAAATGCATGAACATATTGTTCAGCAATTTGTAATGAAGCAGCATTACGTCCTTGCTAAATAGAGAAAAGAAAAGAAAATATTGTTTAGAAATTTATTTTAAATAAAATTTCACCTCAGATTGAAGTTGATTTGAAACAGTTTGAAGTGCTTCAGCACGTGCATTAGCTCTAGCACGTATAGCTTCAGCTTCACCGGTTGCATTATTAATTTGCTCAAGTTTAAAACCTTCACTAGCTAAGACTGTTGCTCTTTTTGTACCTTCAGCTTTATTAATTTGAGCTTCACGAACACCTTCACTCTCTAAAATTGTTGCTCGTTTACGTCTCTAAATATAAAAAAAACGATCTTATAAAAAAGAACAATTTCTTTTCAATGTTTAATTATTCACTTCAGCTTCGACTTGCATTTGCATAGCTTCTTGAACTTTGGGTGGTAAACGAATATCTCGAATTTCGTATCTATGAAATTTATAAGAAAATTAAAGTACAATCATGAATTTAAGTATACAACTAACCTTAAACAATCAATACCCCAAGCTTTAGCAGCTTTATTAATAGCCTCTATACAACAAAATTAAAATATGAAATAAAAATAAATCATATCTATAAAACACTTACCAACAATACCAGTATTAAGTAATTCTCTCTCTCGAAATAATGTATCTAGTGAAATTTTACCAATTTCTGAACGCATCGTTGTTTGGGCAAGTTGTGTCACAGCAAATTCAGCATCTTCTACACCATAACTAGCCTACATTAAATATTAATTAATATTTCTATTACACTTCTGTTATCATCTTATACTTACCAAATAAGGATCGAAAACTTTAAGATATAAGACACCATCAATACTCAATGTAACATTGTCTAAAAAATAAAGATTAAAAATCGAATTTTTTTCACTAGATAAGTGCCATTTATCATTAGACGAAGATTATAGAAAATTAAAATAGATCTTTATATAATTTTTATAACTGAACAGACAATGCTTAAATGTTATACTAAGTATAGAAGTGCAGTCGAAAAAGAACTATATCAAGCGGCGCCGTAGGCTCGGCTCTCTTGATTTTTAAAAACTTTCGTATAAAAATAGATGAGTCTCTTAAATAAAGTTAAGATTTAGGGGGCTAAACTCTTCCGTAGTACAATTCACCCTTAGGAAAATATAGTTATAATTGTTTGTTTCTGTCGGAAACGAAAATTTTTTAATACCTTTTGAAATAGCTGTTTGACTTGGAATTTCAATTGCAATTTCTTTTAGACTTTGAACATAACGAATGTTATCGATAACTGGTAATAGAATATTTAAACCCTTAAATATATAAGATTATATCATAACGAAGATAAACTTCATTACAAACTCACAGGAGTTAATGTTTTATAAAATTTACCCATACGTTCTACAACCCATGCTTCTTGTTGTGGTACGAATAGAACAACTGTATTAAATGGTAAACGAGATCGAAAACGATATTGTTGTTCACTTGTAGCATTCGTTATGGCTCGTTGTAAGAGTCGTCGCTAATTATAAGATATAAGTAATGAGAAAAAATTTAATTTCGAACACTTACAGATACAATCGGACCCAATGTTCGATTCAATACAAACGCCATATTATCAAAACAAAAAATAATTCTACAAAAAGAGGAAGTGTCTTGTTTGCAAAAATATGATGATGCAAGAGTAGAGAAACAATGAGTCATTATGTTTACTATGTCTAATATCACAGTGTAAGTAATTTTTTTATTTCAATCAATCTGACATAATTAAAGAAAAAAAAATATATAAAAAAAGATCATCGAACTATCTGACATATAAAATTTATGGTGAAAAAAGTTGTCGTTTTGTATCATCTAGTGGAGAATAAGAAACAAAAAGAATTTTTAATTAATTAGAAAAAAAACATGTTCTTTACTATTTAAATGACTATAATCACTTGGAAGATTTTCATCATTTGTGTTTACATCATTCATATGAAATGGATCTCGACTATGGCGATGTCTTGGTGCAGCTGAACGTGGAATGTCTTCAGGTTTCGATGCTGGAGGATTACTTGTAAAATATGTTGATTCCAAAACCTTTACAAAAAGAAACATATTTTTTTTCCTAACGAATAAAAATTTTATATTATTTTCTATACTTGTTTTGCTGTAGCTCGATATTTTGGATTCATAACAAGTAAACTTTTCAGGAGATTTAATTCTTGTTCATTTGCTTTTGAAAATTTTTTCTCGAAACTTTCTTCATTATTTAAAAAACTGTCATCATTAAATTGTAGAAAATGTTTAAAACTTTTTGCTTCAGGCCATGTTTGATCAGTTGGTGGACCAAGTAAACGGTAAATCATTAAAATTTGTTCAATTTCACTTTTACTTGGAAATACAATATGACGATTAATTAATTCACCAATAAGAACACCTAATGACCACATATCAGTTGATGTACCATATTGACGATCACCAAGTAAAAATTCTGGTGAACGATACCAAGCTGGTGGTAAACGATGAAGTTTTCGGCATGTATCATCAACATATATTGAAATACCAAAATCAGCAATTTTGATTATACCATGATTATCAATCATAATATTTCCCGGTTTAATATCCTTCAAATTTTGAAAAATAAATAGGCGATAAATAAAATGAAAAGAAGAAACTATACTTGATGCATAATACCCGATGAATGAATATATTCAAGACCAGATACCATCATATAAACCATGGATTTAATATGACTATGAGAATAACGATTGTCTGTACAATGAATTAAACGCTTGAAAAAGAAAACATGAAAATTTATAGTTCTTGAGAGGTTATCTTTAACGTATAAACTTACACCAAGATCGGCAAGCATTAATTCAAAGACAAGAACAGCAACTTTGGAATCAGTTGTATAGAAAGAATCAAGTAACTAAAATATTTTTTTTGTTAAAATTTTGTTCACATTTAATATACAAAATTGTACTTTAATAACATTTGGATGATCTAATTTTCGTAACATCTGCATTTCATTCTCAGCTGCTGGTTCTGCCCAATCTGTATATTCACCATGGCGGCCAACTTTAATCTATCCATGAAATCAAACTATATAAAATATTATTTTCTATTTAAGAAAATGTACTTTTTTAATCGCCACTTCTTCATTCGTTGGAAGGTGTCGAGCTTTATAGATTCCAACAAGCTAAATAAATAATCAATTTTATATGAGAACAATCTTTCGTTAATCGTACTGAATCTTCTAGAATCATTTCATCGATCACATAATTTTCGGATTTACTAGTCGCCATTGAATTGAACAAATTAAAAAAAAATAAACAAGGAGTTCTACAAATTTCTTCCTTGGATTTTATTGTTTATTTATTTCGATGAATAAAAAAGAAGAGAGAAGAAAGAAAAAACTCGATTAGAAATAAGTCCACAAATAAGATGAAAAAACTCTATTTATTTTATTTTACAGCGACCTCTTTCTGTCAGTATTTATGTGTTTTTTTTCTCTCTTTCTCTGCTCACCAATTGGATCACAAGCAACTAAGTCAGTCAAATAGAGCGAAAGAGTTGATTGATTGATAGGTAGATAGTGAACGACCATCGGTCAAATTGTTTTTTTTTGTTGTTTCTTCATTCATAAGAAATTCAATTATTACTTTTTAATTTAGTTATTTTTACATCAACAATGCAGATATGAATACCAATAATATAAATACCCCATTATCAAATCGAGTATGTGTTTTTTTTTGTTTAAAAATGAGACAAATAAAAATCATCTTCATTTTCTTTATTTTTTATAAAATATTGTCTTTTGTTCTAGTCGGATGGTAACGATCCGGGATCGATTATTCCTTCAATGTACCCTTCAACTCCAGCAACAACATCAAATAATTATTTATCAAATCGTACATTTATTCCACCAACTCCAGCATCTGTTAATTCAGAAATAGATACATCGAATGTAACATCTATACAACAAAATGATCCACGAAGAAATATTATTCAACAACTTGCACTTCTATTACATGCACACAAATGTTTACAACGTGAACGACAAGCACAAGCTTGTAATGGAGATAATAATCATGGAACAGCACCAACAACTACATCATTAAATCTTTGTACATTACCACATTGTGCCACAATGAGGACAGTGCTTCAACATATGACAAATTGTGCCGATTTTAAAACTTGCTCTTGTAAGTTATTTCGCAGTTAGATTTGCTTTCATTTGAGATTGTAGAAATAAGACAATATGCTATGATCGCTCGCGTCTGAATTGTGAAAGTCAAGCAAAAAAATATACACATCATAGTTCTACGATGTTTATTGTTACTAATATAATTGTATAGCACGTCTAATATTAGAGAAATATGTTTTAATAGATATTATGATTAAGATAAACTACTGAAAGAATTTATTTTACTTAATTTCCATCTTTTAGTTTAAATTAGGTCTAAGGAAATTCCAGAAGTATTCATTCTTTCGATGTATTAGTAAATAGTTGTAACTAGTGCACTCAATGACCGCATTTGGGAAAAAACAGATTTTACATAAAGAAGTTCGTGTATTAATTATGAGAAACTAAGCCTGAGAAAAATCCAGTAATTTCGTCAAAACTTCTTAGTGAATATATATGCAAAAATAGTTTTTTCCCATAATACATTACTTAAACTAAACATCTAATAACACAGGTATAGGTAAGAAGACTTCTAGAATTTTTCCATTCTTATTCAGATACATTTAGAACCCCGAATATGAAATCGATTAGAAAAACTCTTGTGCAAGTGTTGCACTACTATATATATATATTGATATTATTTACTTTCAAGCCAATAGAATAACCCACAGTTCACGCACTAGTAATCATATCTTATACCAAGGTTAAACAATCAGATCTTGGAAAATGTATATTTACCGTGAAATTTATCTAAGAATAACAGTGAATAATTCTATAACAAACAAGGTTAGCAATGGTCTTTGTTTCAAGAACAATATAAGAATTAATATTAGATATAGTAACATAGTCAATCATTACAAAATTCTTTATTTTTCAAATTGAAATATTTTTATTACTTCAGTGATAATTTTTCTAATAACTAAATATCGATTAGATTTATTATCTTTAACTGATAATTTAGCATCGTATTTTCGAAACGAATCATTTTATGACTAAACATTATTTACATTTCAGCAAACCTTTTAAAATATTATAGTAACAGTTTTCTATCATGGGCACCATCGAGACTACTCAAAAGCTTTTGAGTTAATATAAGTATCACTTGATCTAGTTTTAAATTTTCGTCCCAGACTTTGGTTCTAATTTGTTTTATGTTTTTCTTGTATAGTGATTAGCTCACACGAAAAAATGTACTTTAGCATACTGCACGAGAAGTCAATGACCAATAGGAAAAGAGGTGAAAAGAACACATTTATATGACATAGGTTATCATAGCAAACAAGTGTCTACTAGTAAAGAATTCAATGGAAGCCATTTTACAATAAAAAATATTGATTATTCCTTGTACAAAAAGTCAATTCTTCTTTTCTTAGTTCGTTTGAATCCAGTTCATTTCTTTTTTGAAATTTTTTAATTAATTTCATTTTTTAAACACAACTTAGATGAAAAACTGAAGTTGTATTATTCGATAACTAAGTAACCTAGTGCTCACGGCATGCTTTATGATCTTTCAACTACAATATTATATTGCTTTTCCATTATAAATTCATACTTTTCTCATAGCAAGGATAACTAATGCTTGACTAAGTCATATTGATAATCTTCAATCATATCTGATTTCTGTAACAGCTATTGATTTATAAGTTATGTGAAATTTAAAAATAAATAAATCAAAAAAAAGTGGAAGAGTTCAGCAATCCTTAATTCTGATTAGAATTGATCAAAAATGCTATAATTTATTTTTGAAAATTCACAAACTTACAGTGATATGGAACATCTAGAATATTAAAATTTTTGCTATCTATTTAGTTAATCATTGTGTACAATCTCGTCATATAATACTTCATTGGAAAAATTGTACAACACCAAACTGTTCTATATGTGGTTCATTAAAAAAGCCATCAGCACTTCGACCACAAAATTCCATACGTAAGTTAATTATTCGATTTTTATGAGAAACAAAAAAAAAAGAATTCAATCATCTAATTTGATATTCTAGCAAAAGAATGGCAACAACAGTTACAACCAGATCATCGAAATCATTTAGTCAAAAAGATTGTCGCTGCATTATTAAATACTGTTCAACAAGATGGTCGTTCTTTACCACCTGATCGTTTATCTGCAGTTACATCTTATGCTCAACAAACAGAAGCTGAAACATTTAATACAGCTATAAGTCATGAAGATTATTTTCATCGTTTAGCTGAACGTATTTATAAAATACAAAAAGATTATGAAGAAAAACAAATGTCGAAAAAACAACAAATTTTAACAACAACATTAACATCAATTGATAAATCAGCTGGTGAACAAGGTCCACCAAATCGTATTGCACCACAATCAGATTTTCCACCATCGTTTTTATCTTCATCAACATCATCAACAACAGCAACACAAATTAAATCAGAAAATCATACTCCTAATCCAACACAATCAACATCATTTGATACACATCGTATTTCAACTGATAGTCTTAATCGAATGACTATAAATAACAATAATTCAAATATGATTTCACATGCAGATACAAATGGAACTCATGCTGATACAAAACTTATTAAAACAGAACAGATATCACCAAATCATGATACGAAAATTCAAGTAAATATATTTGTCTACTATAGATCTTTACAAAAGAAGATATAAATTCTTTCTATAGTCTTGTCAAAGAAATTTAACAAGTTTTATAAGAAGAAGGACATCGATAAGTTGTAACCTTGAGAATTTTGTATCGGATGACCTCTATCGGTTCGATTCTGTAGTACAAATTATGACAAGCCACTTTTTTTGCTGTTCTTCTCTAGCAATAGTTCATACAAAAAATGTCTTAGTTGCGTTTATGTTCAATACACGATCTATGAATTAATCCGATATTTTTAAGTTCTCTTTATCTCCACATTTTGAACAGTTGAAATGAATGTAACATTATTCAGATAAAAAAAATAGAAATATTGAAATTGATTTCAAACTCAACTCGTTTAAAGACAACTATATCAATAGTAATAAATATGAATGTTGGTCTAAGGATAACTGATTAATAGAGAGAACTGATTTTCAAGGAATTGTTGCCAATCAAAATAATTGAATATTGCAGTCCACTATGTGATAAACTTTACAAGTATAAATATATCAACATTACATCAAAAATTTAAAATGAAAAGATTCTTTCACTCTTAATTTTGAACTAACACAAAACTATAATGATTCTTCGAAGTTGGATGAATCCCGTTATTCTTCAGGACATCAATTTGCTATGTAGGATGCTATAGAACTCATCCGATTTAAAAACTTTTCTATTCGATACGCTATAGTACTCTGAATCTTTTAAATAATCTTATTTCTATTAATTTTTAGACGACAACTACCATTGTAAAAACAGAAGAAACAATAACAAAAAATGAAACATCAATAAATGGTAATAATATTACAACAACAACTCTTGAATTAATTAAAACAGAAAAAACTGATATTGAATCAACAACAACATCGAATCGACCACCTCCAATAGATTCAACAAGTAAATTATTACAAAAACATCCTGCTGAATTTGCTCCTGAAGATATTCGAGACAGAATGACGCCAATACTTCGTCATTTATTTGATCAAGAAGAAGGTTCTTGGTTTCGTCAACCAGTTACAGAAGCAATTGCACCTGGATATTTTGATATAATCAAATGTCCAATGGATTTTTCAACAATATTTAAAAAATTAGATGAAAATCAATATTCAACACCATTTCAATTTTGTGAAGATATTTGGCTTGTTTTTACTAATGCATGGACATATAATAAGAAAACTCAAAAAGTTTATAAAGCTGGTCTTAAAGTAAATTATTTTTTTTTTGTAGAAAATATAAATCTTATTCTTTTTCTATTTCATTAGATGTCTGAAATGTTTATGGAATTAGTTGATCCTGCTATGAAAGAATTTGGTTATTGTTGTGGACGTCAATATGTATTTTTAGCACCGGCTATGTTTTGTTATGGTGTTGCTGGTATATGTTGTACAATACCACGTGAAGGTGATTATTTTGTTTATAATAATCCGGATTCATCAAGAAATAATTTATCTAATGATAAATATACATTTTGTAAAAAATGTTTTGATTCCGTTAAATCGGAATATATATTAGTTGGAGATGATCCAGCTCAAACATTAGTTGATTTACCTAAAGCAGAATTTAGTCAAGCAAAAAATGATCATCAAGAACCAGAAGCTATGGTTGATTGTATAGTTTGTGCAAGACGTTTTCATAATATATGCGTTCTTTATCATGAACATATATGGCCTGAAGGTTTTGTTTGTAAAACATGTGTTAATCAATATAATGTTAAACGAAAAGAAAATCGTTATCTGGCACATAAATTAACAATGACAGATTTAGCTAATGCTTTAGAAAAACGTGTTAATGATTTTCTTCGAAAAGATTGTGATCCTGATACAGGTCGTGTTACAATTCGAGTTTTAGCTGCAAGTGATCGTATATCTGAAGTTAAACCAAGATTAAAGAAACATTTTGGTGCAGTAGTACCAGATGGATATCCATATAGAACAAAAGCGGTATTTGCATTTCAAGAAATTGATGGAGTTGATGTTGTTCTCTTTGGTATGCATGTACAAGAATATGATGGTCGATGTCCAGCACCTAATTCTAGGTAAGTAATTTGTTTTTTTTTCATTCACTATACGTCTTATATATGAAGAATATTTTTCTGATAACTATTTTAATTCTAAAAAATATAAATATTCTCTTCTTTTGTTTAGACGTGTTTATATCTCATATCTTGATTCTGTACATTATTTTCGACCAAAACAAAAACGAACAGCACTTTACTATGAAATTCTTATTGGTTATCTTGAATATGTTAAACAATTAGGATTTGCATATGCACATATTTGGGCATGTCCACCAAGTGAAGGTGATGATTATATATTTCATTGTCATCCAACTGAACAACGTGTACCAAAACCAAAACGTTTACAAGAATGGTATAAAACAATGTTAGATATAGCTGTTGCTCAACGAGTTGTTGTTGATTTTAAAGTTTGTTTCTTTATTTATTTAATACATTGTTCTTATTTTGATTAATTTATTTTTAGGATATTATGAAAGATTGTAGTGATAGTGGTATAACTAAAGCAAGTGATCTTCCATATTTTGAAGGAGATTTTTGGTCAAGTACAATTGAAGATTTACTTAAAGAACTTGATACTGAAGAAGAAGATAGAAGAAAACTTGAAGAACTTGAAGCTGTTAAAGCATCTGATGATGGTTATATTGATGATCCTATTGAACCTGAAGAACCAACAGAAGTAAGAAGAATAGAAGAAAATTTATATTTTTATATTTATATTTATTTATTTTAGATATCTGATAAACGTAAATCAGGTGGTGGAACAACACACAAAAAGAAAAATTTCAAGAAAACAGCTGGTCAACGTCGAATAGCACGTAAAAATATGTCCAATGGTGCCGATTTAATTACAAAAATCTATGCTATGATGGAAAAACATAAAGAAGTAAGATAGTATTTTTGATTTTGATAATAATTTCCAATGTATTTTATTTAGTCATTCTTTGTTGTTCGTCTACGTAATCCAATGTCAAATCCACCAACATTAACCGATACAGATCCATTAATTCAATGTGATTTAATGGAATCTCGTGATGCATTTTTAACTTTTGCTCGTGAAAAACATTGTGAATTTTCATCATTACGTCGTGCAAAATATTCTACTCTAGCTTCATTAATTGAATTACATTCATCAACAGCCGATAAAATTTCCTATACATGTAATTCATGTCGACAATTATGTGATGTACGATATCATTGTACTGTTTGTGATGATTATGATTTGTGTAGTAAATGTTATACAGCAATCAAACACGAACATCGTATGGAACGTTCAGATGATGCAAATGAAACACCAACTAGTTCAGATACACCTTTAAGTACTCAACAACAAAGACAAGTAACTATGCAAAAAATGTTAGATGCTATACGTCATGCTGTTCAATGTCGAAATGCAAATTGTATATTTAAAAATTGTGCACCATGTCAAAGATTACTTCAACATACTAAAGAATGTACTAAAGCATCAAGGAATCAATGTCCACTTTGTCAAAAACTTATATCACCTATATGGTATCATGCTAAAACATGTACTGATCAAAATTGTCCAGTATGTATTCATTTTTTTTCTCTTTTCTTTTTTGAGATTATTTTTACAATAAAATTCTATTGTATTTAGTTACCTTATTGTGCAAGCTTCAAGCATAAACTTCAACGACAACGTGCAGCGACTATGCAAGCTGATCGACGACGTATTAAAGCAATGCATCGAGCTAAAATGGCACCAGGTAAAATATTTCATATAACATCAGAATTGAGCATTCTAAAGTTCAGGATTATTACTAAAGAGAGAAAACTAATTAATACGAAATGGATTAATATCTTAATGTAAAAACGTTTAGATCTTGATTTTAAGGAATTAAACCCCATAATATCGTTTTAAACATAGTACATCATTTATATTTATTATCAATTACTCAAGTCACATTTGATTTTGATTTAGGTCCATCACCACTTGGTTCCCAAAATACAGAATCTACACCTGCTGTACAGTATCATCATCCGATGGAATCTGCGTCACCAAGTTCATCTGGTAAAATGATGCCATCAGGTGGTAAAGGTGGAAAACCTGCATCAATGAGTGGACTCGTACGGACTAATTTACCTTCACAACAATCATCTTCACAACATCCAGCATATTATAATGGCGGCAAAGGTAATCCAGCAGGAGGTGGTTATCCAATGATGATGACACATCCTCAACAACCATCGCAACAGTGGCTATCTCAACAGCAACAACATCGATATGCAACACATCTGGCCAGTGGAGGAAAACCAATGGCTTATGCACAACAACGAATGCCATATGGTGTAGATCCGTATATGATGCGACAACAAACTCCACAAGTGCCATCATCTTCTTATCCATATACATCAAATATCGGTAAATAAGTCAATATTATAAATAGTTTTACATGATTTTTTCGAATTTCTTTTTTCTAACAGCTCCACCAGGATATTCACATTCTCAACCAATGGATCCTAATGCATTAGCAGCAGCACGTGCTGGCAAACCGATGATGCCCCAACAGCAACAACAACAACAACAACAACCACAAGTACCAAATCGATATCCACTTAATTCATATTATAGTCATCCTTCACAAATGCCTTATCAGCAACAATCACAAGTACCACAACCACCACATCGATCTCTTTCACAAGGTCCAACTCCTACATATTCAATGCCATCATCATCAGTACCGTCAAACGGTACTGGTGGTAAACCTATTTTAATCGATTCAATCGAATCAAAACCTGATGATCTTATAGATGATCCGTTAAAACAACAACAACAACAACAACAACAGCAGCAGCAGCAGCAACAAATGTTTCATCCTCTTCTTCAATCTCGTTCACGTTCACAAACGCCTTCATTTTATCCTAATATGCCACAAACGAATTCTCCATATTATCCTTCACAACGTCCAATGGCACCAACATCTGATTATAATATGGCAATGACACGTGGTATTCGACCACCTAATCCTGCCTATAATAATCTAGCAGTTCAACAACGTGTTCGAACTCCACTTACTTCACAATTATCATCGTCGACAAATGATCCTACAGCTGGTATGAATACGAATCCAATGGGACTTCAATCAACTCCGCCTCCGCCATCTGTAACTCCTCGTTAATAAGAAATATTTTCTTTCATTATTTCTATTTATTATCTTCATGTGTGTCTCTCTCTTGCTCTTTATTTTTCGGCCGACTGATTTTATTCTTCTCTTAAATTATCGGCAAAGAAATCTTTTCTCGTTTCTTTTTTATGCACTGATCTATACATACATATATATCTCATAAATATATAGAAAACATCTCGTTCGTTTGATTTCTTTTTTTTTCGAGTATATATGTACATATCTGGTTTTCTTTTTCGTTTTGCTTCAATATGAAAAATATGCGTATCATTCAGCTAAGTAGTTTTGTCGTTTTTTTACATTGCTCGTGTATATTCATGTCTGTTTGCTGTGGAACAAAAAAAAACAAAGGAATTTTTTTCTCATATTTTTCATAACAAATATTGTTGCTGTTGTTATTATTGGCTTCGTGCATTATGTTTTTTTTCTTCATTGTTGTATTGTGTTGAATTTTCTTTTTCTTATTTCTTCTTGATTTCCACAAGGAGAATGAGTCAATTTATATGTATGTATCTCATGGTTTTTCTTTTCATTTCGATTTGTCTGTCTTTCTTCCAGACAATACATGCTTTTTTTGTCGCTTTTTTCTATAAGCCCAAGCGCGCACTATTGCCGTCAAAAACTCCTTCTTTTTCTCTCACTTTTTTTTCTACTTGTACTAATAATAAAGTGAAATGATCAAATGAAAAACAAAATTGTTATACAGTTTATATTTATTGAAGATG